GCGGACCAGGAGGCGCCCTTGCGGACACGCCAGCTGATGGCCATCACGCTGTTCACAATGGCGCCCGCCACCAACACGGAGCGCGTCTCGAAGAACTGGCTCTGCACATTGCTGCCCATCAAGGCCATCCATCGGGGCTTCATCGGAGATGCCACTGCTCCAGGGAACCTCCATCTGCACACACACGCTGCGCTGCGCTGCGCCTACTCCACTTCCCTCATACCAATCGCGCTCTCCACAATGCGAGCAGGCCACAACCGAACGCCAACCGAACGCCAACCGAACGCCGGCGCGGGTCGAGAAGGTCGCGATGAGGGTTTCCGCGGGGAAGGGGAGGCCGTTTCGGGACACCAACCTGTTGGCATTGATGTAGAGCGTGCGTGCCTTCGCAGAACCGCGGGAAGGAGCCATCGAAGGCGAAGGCAATGGTGTAGTCGGAGATGGAGATCGCGGTGGTGGGATAGGAGAACGTGGCCTCGGCCAATTCAAACACGATGTGGATGTTCATGGGCTCGAATGGGTCGTTGATCACCTTGCCCACGCCCACATTGCTCGTGCAGTACATCGTGGATTGCTTCCCATCTCCCATCGTCCACAGCGCCACGTCCCTCGCCCCATCGCCCGCCACGCAGCGCAGCGCAGCGCAGCATCGGCAGGATGGGCTGGCAGGAGCCCGTCCCCTATCGATCGATCGATCGATTCCCACTGCTGATAGGCGTTGCACCCATCCGTGATCATGCCCCACTAGTCCACATCGCACTTCGTATCCAACACTTGCCCCAAGTGCCCTTCCGGCTACCCCGCCGCTTCGTCCGCGGGGCACACCACCGCCACGCACCTCACCTCTCTTCCATTCCACCACTTCCCACACGCCCGCACCACGCACACCTCCACCTTCCCATGCTCCACAGACCCACAAATGCACAACTGCACCGTCTTGGAACTCGCCTGCTCCCACTGGCCATTCCAGTTCACTCGGCTCCCATCAATCAGAGGCGAGGACCGTACCCACAGCAGTTCGCATACTCCGCCTTCTTGTCCCATTCTCCCAAGTTCCACACACGCTCCGCTTCTACAAACCTACAGGTCTTGCTCCCATAGTTTGCCCTTTCACTCATCGCAAATCCGTTCTCTCTACCACACTCTACCACCTCACAATATGAAAATGAAAATACGAGAAACAGAACAGATATCCTAGGCAAGAACGTCGTGCCTGTACCAGATACCTCCCACGTTGCAAGTTATCTCCATGTATCCGCGGTCCCACATGGCATGAATGGGTTCGCCACGTTGTACAGTTTGAACTACAGAAATTCCTCACTCAGAACACACTCCACACAGCAAAAATGGAACCAGGGTCCACTGCCATTATGGTATTGAATGCGTTCACGATGCATATCTCACACACACAGTTTAGTCAAAGTAACAATAGCGCACACTACACTAGCTTCTTCAAACACACCAACTTGACGACAGAACCCATCCCAGCTACAATACTTACACTCCCATAACACAACACACAAAAACACATAGAAGTCCGAAAACAAAACAAAAGACAGGACATACAAGTCCAATTCCAAATTTTGAATACATTCAAACCCAGTAAGACGAAGCTAATAGCTTTTATTGTAAAACAAATGATTTCTAAAATAAAGAAGAATTGTGCAATTGTGAAAATAGTATTGAAATTGGGTATGAGTGGAAGAATAGATTTCGAATAGGGAGGGAGTTGTTTTTACTGTGAAGTGGAAGGAGATGAGCGGAAATGGGATATTGTGGAATGAATAGATCGAAGAGTGTTGTTTCCAGTGGAAGCGTTTTGTTTTTCGTTCTATTCATTTGGAATCTACTCTAGATGGGATAGAAAGAAATAGGGTATGTAGAATATGATGATAGGAATGAAAATGGAAAAGCTAGCGATAAGCAGTTTTTGGGTTATCATTTATAGTAATAATATGTGATATGTGTATAGTAGAATCGAATAGTAGAGTTTGTGAGAAAGGTGGGTGTGTCGTTGAAGAACTGAGCAAAATAAGGTAGAATACATAATATATTTTATACGAACAAATAGAGATATATTCATATTCCACTGTTTCTAGGTTTTTCGATAGTTGGTGTCCAGTTTTTGTCGTTTTGATGCACTCTGAACCTATCAGAGTTTGTTATATTGCCAGAGAATACTATCCCTTATTCTAACCCATATAGTATCCCCCACCTGCCAAATAATGCAGAATATCTCCTATTTAAAGGAAGGATCGAATTGTACACCACTTCAATAGGGATACAAAGTGATTCACAATGTTGTTCTATTACGAGCATGAATAACAATAGCATACATAATACTTGCTGTTTGAGTTGGTTGATGAAAGTGAAATGCTTTGGTTCCCAACTCATTAGGATGAATAGAATTACTCACTAATAGTGATATCAGTATTGTTGATGATAAAGCTGAAATCCATAAGAATGGACTCTATGGGAATGAGTAGTTGTCCAATATCAAGCTGTGAGACATATCTGGCTGATTATTTGTTGGAGGCAACAATCAAACTATTACTTTTCAGATATATAGATATATGTATATATATAGAAGATAGACATTGATATCTATCTTCTTGAATACCTTACTGAAGTTGTACTTCCAAGATATCGTGAATGAGATGTACACATTGGAATTCAATGAGATCGGACGGTCATTCGCGTCTGTCAGTACCCAATCAATGGAATCCAGGTTCGATTGTTCAATCACATCGATCGATAGGTTGTCCCAGGTGATCATGTTGTTCAGTCCCATCGATACATGAATCAGGTTATCGATCAGCGGACTCTTGAGACCGAATGTTTGAGCATTGATACTACTGTAGACTCGGATCACACTCATGCCATTCGTGATGTCGTAGGGTTCACTCGCGACAGTAGTAGTAGTTGTCAGTAAGCCTTCCAGCTTCAGGATGTTCGCAATGTCGGATGCACCACTCAGGTCGACCGATTGAGCATTCTCGGAGACCAAGTATGCCTGGTTGTTATCATTGATCGGCATCGATACGAGGGAAGTACCTTGTCCATTTCGTTGCCCACAGCCTCGATGAACTGGGAGAACGTGTAGTATCAGTAGGCATCGATAGGACAAGGGAGGTCTCGCCGTTCGCCAACACCACTATCTGGTTACACGAGGTACTCAGGAAGTATTGTCGTGGATTGTCCAGTCCTTTCACCAGCACACTCGATTCGAATCCGAGGATCGATTGGATCTAGGGAGCACGAGTGAAATCGATCGTGCAAAAATGATTCACTGTGATATGGAAGGCGTTCTCGCCTCTATACACCAATTCGAACAGGGCATCACTTGCATTCAACATTGCAATGATCATTTCAATATCGTAGGCTCCTCTGGGTATTAACACCTCGTGTGTGGATGTCCTCGCATCGATTAATATCACTTGATCGGATGGTACGTTGTGCAACACGAAATCGGTATAGAGTGACACAGACGAGATGGAACAGTGATCGAATGATAGAGGATTGTCCAGTTTCACTTCCTTCTTCGTAGTATTATCGAACACTTCCATCATACTCAACTGGTTCATCGGTAGAATTGAGGAAGGCACTTGATCGCACACATCTTCGATCGTCAACTGGAGTTCGAATTCGCCGTTCAATCACATGATATTACCATCCATATTGCGGAACAGGAACATCAATCGATCGAATCGGGTTATCATTGGAATGCAGATGTTTTCCACGGTGCGGAGATAATTAACCTCGGGATCGTCAATGATCATTGTGGTGAGCAGGTTGTTGTTCTGGTTGGCAATCCTCAGATCGGAGGAACGCACAATCGATGAGTACACTTGGATCACTTGGCGATTTCGCATGATATCAATCACGTTCGATCCATAGAACGAAGCGGGTAGAATGACTGCTCGCCTTTCCAAACTGAGGATTTCTCGAATATCCGGAGCATTGGTGAAATCGATGATGTGTGTGAACTGGATATAAATACACCCATTACTCGAAGCCTTCGTATATATCGAGAATGTAGTATCAGTCATGGTGTTGAGGATGGCAATGATTTGACCGATCATGTAGTATCCAGGAGGAATCGTTAGCTCCTCGTCATTGGAGTTCGTGATTACATTAGTAGAATCCACATTGTTGAACATGACTTGATTGGGTGTGAACAGGACAGTCATAGAAGTGATGTAGGGATTCCGATACTTGTAAGGGTTGATCCATTCGAACGTGCCTTTACTAGGTGAACCTTGAATGAGCATGGAGTAGTGCATGGCTTACTCTAATTACCATAATCAGTGGGGTGAGCAGAATAAGCTAAGATTAGAATTTCGCACCTAATTTCTTATGAAGGGTGAAAACTACCAGTTGTCCAGGGTCAGCAACAGCGAGCGTGGAAGATAGGATCTGAAAAGAGACTTCGAACGGCCAATTCGCAGTTAACGGGATCTGAGGGGTGACTTTGGTCGAAAAAGGACGAAAGAAATTCGCGCAATAGGTGTCAATGCGTTATTACCTCGATTCTTTCCTTTTTTTATATTTCTATTCTTCTTTTATCAACAAATCAATCAGTTAGTGAGTGAGTGAGTGAATGAGATAATGGTTTGGTTTAATAATAATAACAATGGATGATAAAATGCGTGGAAAAAATAGGTGAAAAAATCGAAAAGTGAAAAATAGAATAGAACGGAATAGAATGGAAAAAAAGGAATTAGAATAAAATAGTAAAAGAACAGCATCGAGACTTCTCAGCGAGTCACCCACACTGGTACTAACTCGACTCGTGATGACTTACCTTCCTAGATCGGACGGGTTAGGGCGCTTTCCATCAGATATGGCCGTTCTCATTTCATTTTTATTCAATTACCTATATAAATATCACATTCTTACCATTACTTACTCATTCATTCACATATTTTGAGTATCCATTTCTGATTCTGTATCAACTGGAATCCAGAACAAATAATGCCAGTGTTGTGTTTTCAAACAAACAAAAATGCTATCATATCACACATTTAGTATTTTTACTTCTTCAAATTCACCAAGAACTTCGAGATTCCTGCATTGTTAGGAACGAAAGTTTTATCACCTTCGTGCCAGTTCGCAGGACAGACTTCTCCGTGTACATCACTGAACTGAAGTCCCTTGATCACACGGATCGTTTCATCCACACTACGACCAACTCCATTATCATTTATATAAATATGACGGATTTTCTGATTCGGATCGATCAAGAACAATCCTCGGAAAGCTTGAGCATAATCCAAACCCGATTTATCTTCATTGTATACTCCATAGTTCTTCATCGTCTCACGAGTCACATCCGAAAGCAACGGAATATTGATAAGACCACCCAGTCCACCCTCAGAACGGGATGCCTTCAACCAACTCAAATGAGTATAAGGAGAATCTCCAGAAATTCCAAGCACCACAGTGTTCACTGCAGCCAACTTGTCAGCAGCATCATTATAAGCGAATATTTCGGTGGGACAAACGAAAGTCCAATCCATGGGGTAGAACAACAGAATTACCCACTTTCCCTTGTAGTTATCAAGCGAAATATTGGAAATTGTTTCAGTTCCTTGAGCTCCATTCAAACAAAAGTTGGGAGCAGTTTGACGAATCGTGACGGGCATTTCTTAACTTGTATAAATATAAATAAATAAATAATGAATATTAATGTAGAAAGATGGCTCATTTTTGTACAAAGAAAAGGTTGGGAACAAATGAATGAAACTCCCTTCTTTTTTCATAGATTGTGAATATACGACAATCGAACAGTTTTTGAATCACTATGTTATATGTAGAATTTGGACTTAGGAGTGAAATAGTTGAGTTCTATGGAATGTGAGATTACTGAATTAATATAGAGAAGGAGGATAATTAAATGCTATTTGTTTTTTCTTATATCTCATTGTGAGACATGAATTAAAATAAGGATTTGGTGAACTATACCCACGTTACACCAATACATATGAGTTTGGCTCATTTTTCATAATAGATATTAGTTATACTGTACATTTTCAATGGATTAGAAACGATATTTAAGCCTCTTCCATAATTGTGGTAGATTTCTTTTAATGGCTTTTTTATCATATTTTCTGTGAGCATTTCTAGGAATGAAGGTAAATATTTATATGGAATTTGTTGTTTCCATTCAATCTGTGTGTATATGGATGCCCTTTTCATTTTAGAGTGGAATTTATAGTACTGACAATTGAACCTCATGAAGTTGAGATTTATCCAATTGTAAAACTACGATAATATAATCTTTACAACAAGATATTTGATTGAATTCATAACAACATTTATTTTTAATTATATATAGAAATTACAGTTCTTTAGATATATCATAAATCTATTTTGTTAATTAAAAAACGTTTTAGAATACATTCTTCGTTTGTATTGCCGATCCATGTACCCACTCACTCTTTTAACTCATGAGTATTATTGTTGTGGGAATGATAATGTATGCGATTTGTAGTTTCATTTCGAATCTATGATATATATATTCTTAATGTCATCATTATTCTTTTTTCAACATTAAGCTGGTCACATCCAGTTCGTTTCCTGATTACGATATAAACTCATTTCTTCAACATTATTTATTATATTACTCTTCTCAATCTATTAGTTATCATTTTCACTCAATAGATCAAATATCAAATCTATTTTGTAATAATCACACGCGATGTATTGTAATTCGTTCTATTCCCATTTTTTGAGAAGGGCAGTTCAACACGGAATCTCCTGTCCAAGCAATGCTCCATTGCTGATGGTGCTTCCGAAACACTCAAGTGAAGTTATTAGTGCAGCCTAATTTCTATTGGAATCCTATTCCTAATCTCCTTGTTTATCAAACGTACTGCTTTGCAGTTGTTTCTTATTTTCACTGCCTAATGCCAATGAACAAACGATTTCCTTTCTTCTCTCTCTATTCTGATTCGATTCCAATCCTTCTATTTTCCTTCACTATAAACACAAAGCCTATTTCGTTTCACTCCCTTTCCAGCCACACTTACGAACATGTACGATTTCTCTGGTTGCAATCATTGTTGATCCAAGTACATTCAGTACCAGACACTTTTCTAGCACCAACGTTTTTAAATACTTCCAACAGCTGATATTATTGTTCCTTTCTATATTTGAAGTTACCTGGTGTATTATTCTCTTCCAAATCAATTGCAGCTTCCTTACCAGTGATGAATTCAAAAATGGAAACTACCGAACAACGAACGCTCTCAAACAGCGATGCTACTGTTCTTACAACATCCCCCTTTCCTACTACCCTTCTTCGTTGAATTTTTCCATTTTTCCTCCATTCCTAAATCTTCGTCGCCTGCCTCTTCCCATCATCCGTTTCAATTTGATTATTCACCGCTTTCATTTCTTATACAATCACTCCAAGAGTATTCTTACAACATCATCCCACACTTTTCAAAGGATCCCCGCGGTTGCATTCACTTGAACGACTATTAGATATCTCGTGTTTTGTTGACAGAATCTGTAAATTATGAGTGCAGAAGAGATAAAGACAATAGGCTCCGTCAGTAAAGATAGTATATTGCTATTTATATGCCTGAATTGTAGTAATTCTGGACCAAGTGATCGGTCTACCAGAAAAGGAGAATTTCATTCTTATCTTGGACAATACGACGATGTCGTTAGTAAATTCTGTTTGTGGACAGTTCGCCCTTTTTGATAACGGTTGTATCTGTATCCTAGCACTTACTCGGTTTTATAAATAGTATTAGAACACATCGAATCAAAAAGAGACTATGTTCCGGGAGTTTGTGCCATTTATTTTGTTGAGCCCACAAGTAATAATGTTTCCTTGATATTGGAGGTATGGGAATGTGACAGAATTCAAACTTCAGGATTTTAAGGAGATCAAGTCGTTTATCGGTGCTGAGGGTTGTATTGACCGGTATATTCCTATTTCCGTTTCTGTTGTAGAATCACCTACTGCGGAATGGAGGATCAGAGTGGAGAAACCGTTTTGTATGACAAGGTGGCACTACGTTTCAAAGGAGGTTTCCTTGTTTTATTTTTTTTATCTATTCAGATCTAACAGAAGACCTTTCTACTCGAATTCTCGACAACAAAGTGCTTCGAAAGCGCTTGGTGGTACCCTTTTCTTTCATCGTTTGATCCCAGAACACCAAGTTTATCCACATGAACTATCACGTCGAGGAGCCCAATCTCGCGTTGTCCAGTATTTCTCTCTTCCTTATCTCCACTCCAGATATCCCCACCGCGCTCTCCGACATCTGGGGCAGCGTTCGCAATGATTCGGTGCTCCAACAAATTGCCAGCAGTGTAGGAATCCGCCTCCTTCTCAATGAAAGCTCGTGGATATCTGCGTGAATCTGGGCATCAAGCCTCACATTCACTACTATAACTGCTATCCTTGTGACCGAATCGCCGATCTCTTTTATCAATCTGTGGAATCGAGTCGGTTGGCTCATCCCTAGATCGAACAACACATCGCGATCGGCGGTCAACTTCACGAAAAGGGGCTTCTCTTCTTGGTGGATCGCACCGTAGATCCGTTGATTCCACTCATGCATCCCATTACCTACGAAGTACAGTTCAAACCCACCAATCCATTCATAGCCCATGGTGATGGATCTGCTCCCTGTCGGAGAAGGCGGCGAAGTGAGCGAGTCGCTGCGGTCTGACGCGTAGTTCGAGTATCGATCGCGCTCCGGCGAAGACAAGTCGCGAACAGTCCTGCTGAATTCGCAGGATCGGATTTGGGAAGCGTATAAATACGAACACATTCAGAACACGGCGGGTAGGGAAGGAATCGTCGAGTGAGTTGCAGTATGGATTAATAAGGCGGTGGAGGTGTTTCAGGCCGAGAAGGAAGAGAGCAAAGTGAGCGACGATCGCAAGGTTTTCCGTAGAATTCCATTCAGGATATCGGAAATCTGATCAAAACGCTGCCGGAGAGAAAGCAGCGGAACGATTTGTTTGCGCTGCACGTCACGATCAGTCGTATGTGTATCGACCTGTTCCGCGATCACGCGCTCAATCGGCTGATTCCTCTCGTAGCTCTGGCTTGAGATCTTCACGAAAAGGAACAGATCATTCTGACTGGATGCGACGATGCTGGATCCACTCCGTCCCAGTAGAGTTTCCACGTTTCCCTTTTTTTCTAGAGAAAAGCTGCTTGCGGAACTGGACGCAGTGCTCGCAAGCGAAATCACGTTTGTGCCAAAGCCGTTGAATGACGTGTAGCATGCAGGACAAGCGGCGATTGATCCTGATGTACGCGATCGCTCGGGGTCTCGATTCTGATACGCAGCGACGGCTCTTCCAGCAGAGCGGATTGCCGATGGGCGATTACTCTCTGGTGCAAAATTTGAAGCTTTTGAATGTGAATCTTGCGCAGGTTGGAATTGAAATTCGAAATGAATTGTAGCCGATGAAGCAGCGATTGGACACCAAGGAATATGCTCGCCAAGTACGGTTTGAGATCGGGTTTTGAGGTAGGCGAAGCAGTTACAGAAGACCACGCAGCTGATGACAACGCGGTATGAAAGCCAGATTCGATTTTTGCTGAATGTGGGGACGAGTGAAGCGGGTGAAGCGTAGGATCTGGCGACGAACGCGCTGCCGCCGACGAAATTCGCGCTGTACGACTCGGGCGATCATGTGGTGCAAGGAATCATCGGTCAGGATCTGAGTCGGAGCGTGCGAGGCAACATGCGGAGCACGAAAATGCTGTCGAAGAAAGCGGTGGAGAAGAAGGGAGAAGTGGAATGGTACGGAAAACCCGCGCCGAAGCCGACGACGATAACGGGGGAGCCGATAATCTGCTATATCGTGGGAGGAACGTGCTTTTCGGAGATTCAGAGCTTGAATGAATTCGCAGAGGCATCAGGACGGAATTTGACGATTGCGTCCACCCATCTTTATAAACAAGGAAACTTTGCGAGTTCTTTGTATGAACTGGATTCATCATCATTATTGTAACTGGGTTTGTTTTCGATAAAACAATAAACAGTCGATCAATCAATCAAACAAACAAACTTCGAACAAACAAACTTTGAACAAACGAGATATAAATCGATAAATGAATGCCTGAATACAAAACACAACTAGACTATTTGAGTGCGGTGAGACCGATCCATTGCAGCTTGGAAGCCTCAACGTTGCCGCATTCCTCCGCCACTCGCTTCACATCGTCCATACATCGCAAAACAACACGGTAAAGAACGGGAATCACGCTGGACTGATACTTCGAGTTGTAATACCGAATCAGCAGCGCGATCTCAGGCTCGGTTAAGATGTAATACGTCGACTGCAGGACAGAAGCGATCGCGTTCAGTACCAATTCGCAACCCTCCTCTCTTTGATCGAGCCGTTTGAAGAGATGCGAAATGATCAGAATTCGCTGATAATGCGTTGATTGCTGACTGACGCGGAGCAACAGATCGATCACTTCTTCCAACAGTTCCACGGAATTCACGCCTAGAATCCCATTTTCGGTCTCCAAATAGTCAGAGAGCAGGTGAGAGACCGGGATGTGGTAGAGATTGCGGATGGTAGGGATCACAGACGAGGCGGCAGCAGAATGGATCGCAGCAATGACTTTCGAGGGAGAGAGGGAACTGAGAAACAGGCGGAGCAAGAGCTCGTGCTCTTTGGGAGAGTGGTTGGTCTCCTTCATACAGGAACTGCGGCTGTTTAGAACGCAGGACACTAGTGAGGCGTCAACCTCCTTTAGACGGATTAGAATAAGCAGAACCGTTTTTCTACATGACATTGGACCCTTTCTGTAGTATAGATCGAAGAAAGACTAAAGGTAAGGCACTCATTTGACAAAGCACTATGAGGAAAGCATCTCGATCTTTTGTCTTCATGTGCAATATTGAGGATATCACTTTATTCGAAAAAGTAATCCTTTGTTTTTCGGAAAACTCTATGAAGACATTCATACAACTTATTATATGATCAAACAGATTTTCTATGACAATATCTTCTAAATATCAAACAGCCCGTTCAACTCTACCTTCATTCAACAAGAGAAACTCGTCGAGGCAATCTTCAGGTGGTTTCATCGATTAGTATCGCTGTAGATCAGTATAAAGTATCTTTTAGTTTGAATAAAGAAATCTGTTTGATTTTTGGATTGGGTCAGTCTGACATAGTTTTCCTTATCATTATCACATCTTTGTAGTTATTGCTAAAATAACTATTCTGTTTGCTAGAAAGCTGTGTATTGGTTTGGAACGTGTTGTGTATTATAAATTGATATGAAAATGTTATTCCGACAACTGTCTCTATTGTTTTCTATTATGATATTTGCCTCCTTTTTCGTATCGTTCATCATTAACCTATGACACTTAGAAATCTGTAGTTTATGATTTGCACAGAGGCTTCACGGCTGAGAGAGATCCTTCTAAGGATACTCGGGTTATTTCGACAGAAGAGAGTTTTGTTCCAAAACATAAACCGAAGAGAGAGTATTGGACATTCGGAGAAGATCGAAGTCAGTTTGGATGGCCAGAAAGTGTTATACAAGAGAGGAAGCAGAAGTCTCTGGAATTGGTGTACAACTACAAACTTTCGAAGGGTCTAATTGTCGAGCAACCAAAACCGAGTGTAACAGCCAACCCTGCAAATGAGGTTGCAGAGAATAGTCCAACTTCTGGGGTTTCTTCCGTCAGCATGCCTTTTAGTAGTAAAACGTTAAATAACAATCCCTCCGAGTCCGATAAAAGTAGAAGTGTTCGGAGGTTGTTGAACTTAGAAGCGAGTGAATTGAAATTGGAAGGAAACATGAACGATGCGATGGATCCATCTAAACAATTCTCTGAATCCAATACTCAATCAATGGAAGACATGAGCAATCCAGCCTCTCTTTCTATGGACCCTTCTCTCGCAGAAGCCAAGGCAAACGCGGCAACATCAGCTTCTTTCAGACGACCCCCAAAGAAGAGTCCCAAAGCCAATTTGTGGAAGTTGCGATCCAGCAAAGCTGAACCAATTCGCAAGCAAACTCTTCAATCCCAAACCTCGACTTTGCCTCATTCTTCTCCTCCCAAACAACACTCTCTTCCCTCCCACACCCCCTCTTCCTCCCTTTTCTCCAACTCATCTCCCATTCCGAAACGAACGGAGCCCTTTTCAAACGACACATTTCAGCTCGTTCTTGTGACATCCGTCGAAACCTTCGGGAAACGCGAGCTGAGTCTTCCCACCAACAACACTCTCGCCATGTTCTCCTTCTTCCAGCGCCACTTCTCCTTCCGAGCTCTCATCTACACGAACTCGAAGCGAGTGAAACGCGCTTGTGACGCTCTGGGCATCGCGTATGACTCCAATTACGAGTGCCGATTCAAAGCCAATTGAATGTTTAGAGTGAACGAATTCCGACTTCCCTTCATGAAATACATGCTCGAGAGAGCGAAGACTTTATTCCACAGCCGCTACGTCGGCTTCATCAACAGCGATATTCTCGTCGCTCCCAATCTGTTTGACACATTAACGCAATGCGAAGCCCTCGTCGAGAAAGGCTCGCTCAACCCAAAGGCATTGATTCTCTTTCTTTTTTCATTCTAGCACGAAATCAGCTCCACTGTCTGGGGCCTCAAAACGCCCAAACCCGTCAATTTCAGCTCCATGAAACGCTACGAATCCTATCTGATCAATCTCGTTCCTTCGCTTGGCGCAATCCGAGACTATCGCAGCGCCGATTACTTCATTTTCTCCAACGCGGTTTCGTTCGAAGACATGGACCCTGTGGTGATCGCTCGCTTCCTGATCGACAACTACATGATGGGGTATATTCTGAGCCAGCACGGCGTTCTCGTCGATGTAACGGAGCGAGTGCTGGGGATTCATCAGGGACCGGAGGGTTATTTCTCGCGAACGCGGTCCAAACAAGAGAGCGATGTGAATTGGAACGCGAAGTGGATCGATGAGAAGAGAATCGTGAAGGGAACGCTGCAGATGGCGAAGAAGCGGTTTGGTAGGAATGGAGGACGGGGATGAGAGGCAGAGAGAGATGAGTATATGGAGAGAATGACGAGTCGAATGAATGAACGTCGAAATATCGTCAAGCTGAAGAAGTTGACTAAGGAGCAGAAACGAAAATTGAAGCTGCCTCTTGGGTAGAGGGGAGATGTGATTTGTATACATGATGTGAGATATTGTTTGTTGGAAATGACTGTGTTTGAGCAGTTTTGTTTCCATCACGCTTTCCACCTTCGGTCCACAAGTATTTACAATGTTCACTCCAATCTTAACTCTGTTCTAAACACAAAAGTGCATTATTCCGAAACCTTGTCATAGTATTGTTTGGTTGCCTTTCGTATGCCTCCATACTCTCCCAAGTCCCAAGCACAAGTATATTTTAATGAGAGGAAGTCAGAGGTACTGGCCTTTTGCGTTTTTTTACAATTAGGAATCGATTGACTACCCAGTGAGTTCATTGAAAAGTCGATCGTGTGTATTAAAGGATGACGATACGAATACTCTATTTGTTGGGATGTTTCCTGGAGACTCTGCTATTGTGGCTGGAACCTATTACTTTGATGTTATAAAGGGAAGGGTAGAAGTTTATGGTATGCTCTTTTGTATTCTCTGCATTCTCAGGTCACCATTGCAAAATACGTCAAACTCCGTATTTTGTCGAGTCACCGACATATGAGAGCGCGATTCCTATAACTGGAATTGATAGTAAAAAGACAGATGTCCGTTCTCATTATTTGGTAAGTACAAATGCTCGTAATGATTATAAACTGTTATTACAAAATAATCCAAGTTGTTTTAATCATGTTTCTTTCCAGTAGTTGTAATCGCTATTTTCCCCGATAAGAAACGTGTTTATTTGCAGTCTCCCAAATCAAATAGTCTGGAAGAAGAAGAAGAAGAAGAAGAAGAAGAGGAGGGAGAGGGAGAGGGAGAGGGAGAGGGAGAGGGAGAGGGAGAAGAAGAAGAGGGAGAAGGAGAGGTAGAAGAAGAAGAAAACGACGAAGACCTTCTCTCCTTCGATTACAATCCCACTACTCTAAAAGAAGACGCCTCTCGGTTCCAACTACCCGAGATTTGCCTTCTCACCGAATACAACCCCATTCCTCGCAGCAAACAAAAGTCCAACACACACAACACAATCCTCACTTTCGATTCGTCTTGGCGAGACGTTTCCTTTTTTTCTTCCCTTCATTCCGAGCTTCTCTCTCATTTCAAACTCCGCCATGAGCGTCACTCTCGTCTGCGGTGCGAGAAACGCGGGAAAAAGCGTCTATTGCCGCGCCCTCCTCAACTCCATCTTAAATCATCACGAAAAAGTGGCTTTTTTGGACATCGACGTGGGCCAGGGAGACGGCACTCCTGAAGGCTATCTCTCACTGAGTCTGCTGTCGACTCCCCAGTTCCGCGGGTCGACCGTGTGCCACATCAACCGGCACTTGTTCAGGTTTGTGTGTGCGGTCTCTGCGACGTAGTGCGGTGTATTTCGGAGAGAAATCCCCCGAGAACCACCCAGCCGTGTACATCGAGTGCATGAACTACTTGGTGGAGCGCTACACAACGTCGCTTTCGAGTTCGTTCGCCCTCTCCGCTGCGATGTAGAGTATCCGTTGGTGATCAACACGTGCGGGTGGATCAAGGGCGTCGGCGCGGAGATTCTCAACGCCACCAAGCAGGCGATCACGTGTTCCCACGTCGTGTTTGTAGGGATTCCCGCGGGGATCCAGCGTAGATTCAGCTGCCGAGCGAGCCGGAGAAGTGTCCGATCGAGAATCTGGAGACGTCGCGTTTGGTGACGCTCTACGCGCAGAGCGAGGGGAAGAAGAAGCTGAACACGAAGAGTCTGCGCACGGAGCGACTGGTGCAGTACTTCGTGGAGAATCGGCGAGGCCGGCTGGGCGACCGGCTGCTCGCGCTGCCGCGCTATTCCTTCGCCATCGACCGCGTGCAGTGCTATCTCCGCGACAGCTCGCCCGTCTATTACTATCTCACGCTCGCCGGGTCCGTCGTGGGACTCGCCGTCGATCCCGCGTTTGTGCCGGCAGCCGAGGCCACCGAGGCGAACGAGGCGAACGAGGCGAACGAGGATGCCCGCGAGGCAGGCACGCCGTGGACGGCGAACGTGCCCATTCCGCGCGCCAAGAGAACGCCCAAGCTGCTGCGCAGACTGCCCGTGTGCGAGGCGCTGGGACTGGGGGTCGTGCAGTCCGTGGATCTGCGCAGGAATCGGATCGTCGTGCTGTCGCCGCTCTCCCGAAACGACCTGGAACGCGTGAACACGCTCGTGATCTCCGCCTCGCCCATCCCCTCGGAGTTGCTGAGCTCGGTGGGTCATTTGCGCAGGCGTAAGGCGTAGTCGCTGCCGTACAGCACCTTGTTCCAAGCCAGCAACCTGGTGGGCGCGGGCTGTCTGCCGATCTCCTCGCGCACCAACCTGAAGCGAGACTTCCCTCAATGGCGTGTTTGTTGGAACAAACAATCTCTCTGACCCGAAAGACTTCGAAGACTCGAAGGCGTGTGTGTTTAGTTCTTCTTCTCTCTCATCTCCTTCTCCTCGATGATGCTGAGCTTCACTCCGTTGCCCTTAGGCAGAGACACCATGGGCTGGTTGCCCTCGCCGATGATGAACACGTTGCTCAGACGGGTGGCGAACTCGTGACCCGCCGCATCGCGAACGTGCACAATATCGAAGGATCCGAAGTGTCTGTCACGATGGACGATCACTCCCACACGACCAATGTTGTGTCCCTTCGTGATGAAGCACAGGTTGCCCACCTCGAACTTCACATGGCCGATCACCTTGTTCGTCTTCAGATCCACCTTCACGGTGTCGTTCACCTTCACGGTGGGGTCAGGGAAGCGGATCGTGCGAGCATCGTGAGTCACGATGAACGGGATCTTCTTGCTCGACAGCTGGCGCTTCACAACCTTGCACAGCTTGTACTGAGCCTCGTTCTCGTCGATGCGGTGAAGGACGAAGCGGCCCTTCACGTCGTACAACAGACGGAAACGGTCGGAAGAACCCTCCAGAGTCACCACATCTGAAACTAAGATTCCATTCTTTGCTAATTACCCATGAAACCGGCGGGGAAGGTAGAGTCCGTGCGGATCTTGCCGTCCACCTTGACCAGACGCTGCATGCAGATCATCTTGACCTCGTGATTGGTCAGAGCGTACTTCAGACGGTTGCGGATGATCAACAGCAGAGGAAGGCACTCTCTTTGCTTGTGAGGACCACAGCTAGGCTTAGGAGCCCACACTCCTCCCATCTTGTTAAGCATCCAGTGCTTGGGTGCGTTCAAACGCTTTAAATGCTTCTTAGGACCACGAGTCTACTCCATTCGTAAAATGCTCCGCAACACGAGAGACATGTCTCTCACAACAACATCATATTCACACAAGTCATAGAAAGTCACCTACCATTTCCGAGCAGAATTAATTTGGTTGTGTGGAACTGAATAGGGGTAAAATGGTTATTTTCGATTATACTAGAAATTAATAATCGATAAATATCCAGGGGGTATTTGATGGGTAATGTATTTATTGTATTTAATCATACTATTAGGGTTACATTCTCATATTTACAAAGCAAAATAGAATTTGTTTCGCAAATGGAAAGAGGTCAAATCGGATGGAAATCGCCAAAATAAGTGGGTATTTTTGGACTCCAGAAATTGACGCAGGGGAGTTTCACTTGTCAAAATAGTTCCGATTTTTGGCAATGATGCATTTTCTAATTTGTTCATCATACTTCTTTCTAGTAAATATTGTAAGCTAAAGAATTAAAATGGCCCCTACCACCAAGACGATTGTGAAGTCTACGAAGAGTTCTGGCGCGAGTAACTTTGGTTCCTCTAAGGCTATTGGTATTGAGCTGTAAGTTGCCGGTTGGCTGTGTTTATGCCTAGGACTCCCTACAACGTGCTTATGACCAGCGTTGTGTTTGTAGTTGGTGTTGTTGTGATGCACCTCCTGCACAGACTCTTTTAAGGAGTAACGGGTTAATGAGCCAGTCCATATGGGTTGTGGTTATATCAAAATTGAATTGTGACCTTTTGCTATGTTTGTTCGAAAAGTGTTTGGGAGGCCGTAGTCTCGTTGGCCAAGTAGTCCTGCGATATGTGTAACGTGTATTAATAGTGTTTCTCATGTAGATTGACATTGGTCTTGTTTCTGTGAATCAAAAAACGAAGGATGGATTCTGATTTGACGAATTGTATTCCAGAAACAATCCGGATACATTGTGTCCGCTTTGGAGTACTTACGTCATTCAAACCACTTTGCATGATAATCATGGTAATTCAATACTGTGCTTTTGGATTCATCGGTCATTATTATTTTTCATATTTGACAAAAATGCAAGGTATCATTACGTCGAGAATTCGTTTAATGCATAGATAAAGCGGTTACCATCAACGAAGTGAATCCTAAAGTAAGAGACTCGTGAGTAATACCACGTCTAGTTGCTCGAGGCTCAATACGCCGTTCGAGGCCAAATCGTAGTGCGCGCTGGAGAGATCGAGGAGGAGATCAAAAGTGGAAAGAAGTATCCTTTCGATTCTCTCGTTTACTGCAACATTGGTAACCCTCAGGTACGCAAAATCTCAATTCCGTGAAGTGTAGCAACTGAACCAGAAACCTCTTACATTTGTTCGTCAAGTACTTGCGCTTACATCCTATCCGGGCCTTGAAAAGATTGTCCCGGAAGGAACCTTCCCCTCCGATGTGGTGGAGCGTGCTCACCGTTTACTCAAATCCAATCCCGGAGGCAGTGGCGCTTACAGCAACAGTCAGGGTATTCCCGAGGTCTTGAAGGACGTCGCGGATGCGATTGGCCGTCGTGACGGCTACCCCTGCAATCCGAAGGAGATCTACCTTTCGAACGGCGCTTCGCAGTCGGTGCAGAACGCCTTGATGCTGCTTTCGACCTCCCCGAACGACGGCTTCCTCACGCCCATCCCGCAGTACCCTCTCTACTCTGCGACGATCACGCTGTACGGCACGAAACTGATCGGGTATTATCTGAACGAGGAGAAGGACTGGGGTCTGGACATGAACGAGCTGGAAACGCGTTTGGAGGAGGCCAAGGCGAAGGGAATCAATCTGAAGGGAATGGTGATCATCAACCCCGGCAATCCGACCGGCATGGTAGGTTCTCGCTGCGCTCTGCTGAGTCGTAGTGCTTGGGCGAGGAGGAAATGCGCGAGTGCATTCGCTTCTGCATCCGGAACAAGCTCGTGCTGCTGGCCGATGAAGTCTACCAGGAGAACATCTATGTGCCCCACAAGAAGTTCGTGTCGTTCCGCAAAGTCGCGCTGGACATGGGCGAGGAGGCCAAGAACGCGCAGATCATCTCCTTCCACAGCATCAGCAAGGGGTTCTTCGGCGAGTGCGGCCGTCGCGGCGGCTACCTGCAGGCGATGGGCTTCGACCCCGAGGTGTTCGCGCAGATCACCAAGATGTGGTCGATCAATCTGTGCGCCAACACGGACGGCCAGATCGCTCTGGACTGCATGGTGAACCCTCCGCGCGAGGGCGACCCCTCCTACCCGCTCTACATCGAGGAGAAGTCCGCCATCCTCGCCTCCCTGCAGCGCCGCGCGGTGAAGCTGGTGGCCGCGCTGTCGAAGCTGCCCGGCATCACGTGCAACCAGGTCGACGGCTCGCTCTACATCTTCTTCAAGGTCGTGCTGCCCAAGAAGGCCGTCGAGGCCGCGAAGCAGCGCGGCGTGGCGCCTGACTTTTTGTACTGCGAGGAGATGCTGCAGCAGACGGGTATCGTGACGGTGCCCGGAAGCGGGTTCCAGCAGAAGGACGGAACGTACCACGTGCGGACGACGATTCTGCCGCAGGAGAGCGAGATCGATAAGGTGATCGAGCGTATGGACGGCTTCCAGCATGCGTTCATGAAGAAATATGAGGATTAAGCTATGCGGCGTGTTTGTTGGAGCAAACAGGGAAAGATACAAGCGCGGATGAAGGTGGGGGAGCGACTGGTGTGGGCGATGCGGGCGATGGGAGCCCGGGAGGATCGGGGAGAGACGAAGGGCTGGCAGGGAGGTCCGCCTGGGCGGGAGCATCTTCCGAGGAGGAACTGGCGTCGAGATGGGCTTCCGCTGGATCGCTTTCCGTCCTCTCTCCTGCCTCCTCCTTCGTCTCTCCAGCATCGATCGGGTTTTGGTCTTCGCTGATCGGGTTTTGGTCTTCGCTGATCGGGTTTTGATCTTCGTTGATCGGGTTTTGATCTTCGTTGATCGGGTTTTGATCTTCGTTGATCGGGTTTTGATCTTCGTTGATCGGGTTTTGCTCGATCACAGCGGAATTCTCCTTTTTCTCTTTCGGACTCGAATCGGTTTCCCCGGTTTCCCCGGTTTCCCTAATTGGATCATCCGGCAACCGAATCTGGATTTCCTCCTTCATCCCTTCCCCAGTTTCCCCAGTTTCCCCAGTTTCCCCAGTTTCCCCGGTTTCCCCCCATCGCTGTCGCGCGATCTCGCGCGTGAGCGGATGCGTGGCGAGGAGCCATCGAATCTCGCGATCGGTGTCATCGATGAGAGCGTCCACGACGCGTCGAAACCCGAACAATTTCCGTACCTTCTTGACTACGCTCAATCCCGCTCCCCGCGGCTACCCGGCTCCTGCAGGACCAATTCCAAGGCCATTTGGCGCACAGCGGGGACGCGATCGCGCGCCAAAACCCCGATCACGGGGCGAATGAGCTGCTTGAAGGAAGCCTTGGAGAGCAGCGGGACGAAGGAGGGGCAGCAGAGCAGGAAGAGCTGGGATGAGAGGGGTCGAAGGTCCCACTTGCCGCTGCGCGTACTTAGCGGACTTGGCGAGCGTGATGAGCTGGTAGAGGAGGAGCACGCCGCGCTGCGGATTGGCGTCGAGCGCGGGGCGGAGGATCGCGTAGGTAGCGTTGGCGCTGAATGAATGAAAGAGAAAACGCAGCGGTACGTCATTTCGCGGACAGAACTCACCGGGTCGGCGAGGAGCGAGAGAAAGAGCGGCGCGAGCGTGGCCAGCACGGCCTGGCTGCTCAGCAGCGCGGCGAAGTCGGGCAGCTGCCGGCTGAGCTCCAGACGCAGCCACCAGGTGCGCGACTCCAGCAGCTGCGTCACGAGCTCGGGGAGTTTCTACGCGGAAGATCGCGGGAGCGAGGCGAGAGTACTTTGGCGGCTTCTTCGCGCCGCTCCGGAGAGAAAAAGCGCCAGAGCTTGGCCATGTTCTTGATGACGCCGGTGCGCACGTCGTCCTTCTCCCCGAGAAAACGCTCCTGGATCGGCAGAAGGAACTTCTCCGTGTTCTTGCTCCCGATGATTTCGGCGACCACGTGCAGCGAATACGCCAGGCTGCGGCACGTGATCGAGTCCTGGTGGTACGACAGACGCGAGTACCACCCGTTCGTGTCCTCCCAGAAACGATTGGTCTCCGAAATGGACTTCAAAACCGCGGGGAAATAGAAGGCGCAGCAGCGGCCGTAGAGATTGTTCGGAAGGTCGTCATTGGCGTTTTCGAGCTGCAAATATCTCGTTTTCAGATCGTCGCTGATCTGAATATTATAAAAATGATTCAAATCAACGTGGAAGTGTTCTGGGACAATCGCGATTAAATGTCCCAACGTCTGCAACATGGCTTGCTTCACAAACTCGTTCCTTTTATTGATTACAAAACGAAAAACAAACTCATCACGGAATAATTCTCCCACCGTCTTTGTGATCGTTAGAAACATTTTGTGCGACTTTATATTGCGAAAAACCTCCGGAATCACGATCGCACACGCTCGCTTCACCGGCCATGGAGCATTCTACCGTCCACCCTCTCGCCCACGCTTCTACCTTCGAATTCGATAGAATCGAGTTAAAAATCCCCGTTTCCACGATCTGGCTGTCGAGCATGTCCGACACGGGTCCGAAGGCGAGGATTGCGTGCTTCCGCACCTTCCAGGAAGGGTCTTTGGCCAGTAAAAGCAACTCGGAAACGCCGAACTGGCTCAGCACTTCCGATCCCAGAATCGAAGCCGCGTCATGGAAAAGATCGCAGGCGACGACGCGGTATTCAGGAGAAGAGTTTAGAGCGAACTAGAGAGAAAGGGAGAGGAAAATCGGGAGGTACTTGCAGAATGAAAAGATAGGTGTAGATACTTTGATCTTCGCGTTTGAGATGTTTACAGCTCGCTACGAAGGCGTCAATGGAGGCTTTTTGGACCTAGGTTGAAAGTAGACAAGAGAGGAAAACGTCGGGGTAGGAATCGAGAAGAGTACTGCGGAGAATGGGAAAGGCGGAGTTGGTAACGAAATTGAGACCGCTCTGGTAGCTATACGAAAAACAGAGCTAGATCGTCAGATCCCTTGATAAGCTTACATTTGCAATGTATTCAAATTGGTTTAATGTTACAACACGAATCGATACTTCAGAATCATTTACCAAATCTTCCAATATAGGTATGATCTCATCTATAACACCCTCATAATCTTTTTTATCACAACAACGCTTGATTTCCTGAATAAAGGTATATCTACAATCTTGATAGATTTTGCATGTCCCACCGCTGTAGCAAATTCTCACTTGCCGAATAAATTTTAATTCTATCGATTTCACTCATCTGGAGTGAGGTGGCGAATTCATTCAAGGGATTGGACTCCTCTTCGGAATCTGTCGTTAAATATCAAATTCACACACTACCATCCAAAACAGCCTCATCAGTAACTGCTTCAAACTCTTCGGTATACTACATCTCAACTTCGAGACTCAAACGCACATTCGCAATCTGCTCCATCTCAAATCAGAGAGAGATAATCCTTCCCTCATTCATCAGGCGTTTCATTTGTCACCGCGGGAAATCAGAAATCTTTCAGGTAATCAAGACACAATCCCCATTTGATTTTTGTTTGTAAACTTCAACTATGAGATTTGCGGTACTGATTCTAGTGTTGGCTCTTACTACGTGCTTTGTCGTCGACGAGACACAATTCGCACCTCCAACGAAACGAAAACACTTCAGAAGTATAATGGGCAGAAAATGGGAAGCAAGGTCCCCTTCGGGTCCTGTTGTGAAAGTACTTGACTTTGGTGCCGATCCAACCGCGACCGTGGACAGTCGGGAACACATTCAGAAAGCTATCGATTATGCGCTTTCTATGTGCACGCGAGAGATGGCGGACGGTATCAAGGACTGTAACGGCGTTGTGATCGATTTGCAAGGAGGTCAGTATCTACTGAGTGGACCCTTGGTGTTCCGATCCTATACTGGCAACTGGAGAATGACAAGCGGAACGCTGCGCGCCGACAGCACATTTAATCCGGACGACTTCCTTGTGGAAGTGGGAACGAAGGAGTGTAATAACAAGCAACAGTCTTGCAACCAAGGTATTGGGTTCGATTTCATGATGTTTGATGCGTCTCACCAAGCGTCCGGCGCGGCTCGAGTCGATCACACCATGGGCATGAATTTCGGTCCTCAGAATTTCGTGATCGGATTCAATCGAACTGGAATTGAAATTAACAGTGGACACGAGACCTTGGTTCACCAGTGTTGGTTTGGTGAATACTACTATTCGGATGATCGAAAACTCATCGGAATGGGCACTGCCATTGTTCTGAATGGAAACGATCACTATATCGTTGACACGATTGTGTATGGAGGAAAGATCGGAGTCATTGTGAATGGCGAAGCCAGCGTGCTGAAGGGAGTCCACACATGGAACTGCGACACTTCTCACGGAGGTGTTGGCATCATCGTGAATGCCGGTGTAACTCGCATGGAGAATTGTTACCTGGACTACAACAATCTCATTCTCAACACGTTCTATTTAACTGTGATTCAAGATACCTTCTTTTTGGGAAATGGCCGAATCATCATGAATCCTCAAGGAGAGCAAGACGTAGTGGGACTCCGCATTGCGAACAGCATGTACGGATGGGGAGGCGATGGAAAAGACACCATCTTAATCGATGAAAGCCAAGGCCACTTCCGAAGGATCATCAACACGCAGATCGTCGATACAGTAATCGAGGAAGGCGTGAACACGATCGTTGGCACGCAGGCAGACAAGAAACTGAGCCAGCAACAAGCCACGGAGTGGGAAATCGACTTCAAAGCTTCGCTTCTATTCAAGCAGATTCAGAAAGTGCAGTGGTCGTTCGTTCTTGACGAGCCTTGCTTCTACCAGGCGTACGCGATGGTGGAAGGAACCAAGGTGAGGGTGGTTACGAATGTGCCAATTTCGGGAACGCTGCATGTGCATGTGGATGAATCGGAGGAGTTTTAATCACTTGTAAAGACGAAAGAGAGAGAAAGAAAGAGAGATTACGAGTATTGATCTTCTGATTGATGATGTTTATTGAGAATACTCCTTGTGTATGGTAATGCATTTTGTGTGCGTATAGAAATCGAAATAGCCTGGAACAGCCCAAAACTGATTGGGGATTTTGATCATAAACTCATCACCCCTATTTGTCAATGATTGTATCCCAGCAGATTGCTTTTTCCAATTCTTCAGAACGCATCTCCACCTATGAATTGCGCTACCCATCTCCACTCCCATCACATTCTATTTCCAACAAACACGCCACACGAAAGATCGCAGCACGTTCAGCATATGTGTATCATTCTCCACCAACCCCTGCGCCAGCCTCTGCATCTCCGCCGCCACACGCTGCACCCCCGCCTCATTCCCATGCATTTCTTTGAGTAGGTTTACAAGAGCCACCATCTTCTCCGACGATTCGCGCAGCGTTTTCGACAATTCCCGCTCCGTCTCCTCGCGATTCGCACGTGTCTGCGCCGATCGCACCTCCCCCGCGGTACTCCGACCTCCCCGACTTCCCGGCAGATTCACTACGCGTCAATCCCCGCGGTGACTCGCACTCGACTTGATGTTCTCCTCGGGAACAAAATCATGATCGTTCGGCCCGCCATACCGCGTCTACCTCGCACTCCCGCGGGAATCCTACCACGTAGAAGCTCGCCGTCGCGGGTCGATACCCGTCCGAAAACGTGACTCCGTAGAAGAGCCGCTTGCTCCCGCGGGTCCGCATGATCTGGTTGATGGTGGCGGGGTGATGGCGTCCGTCCGCGCCCAGCACGAACACTGACGCGTAGCACTTGTATTTGGAGTGCATGTCCACCGTGTACGCTTCCAGCTCGCGGTCCAGCCGGCTCACCGCGTCGCTGTCCGACCGCATCGACCGCTGCGGCGTCCCCGCCAGCGACTGCACGCGGCGCGGACCGCTCGCGCTGTTCGCGCCGCTCGCGCTGCTCGGACCCGTCGGCGACCCCACCGACCCCGCGGCACTGGAAAATCGCGAGGTTTTGCTCACGGTGTAGGGACCGGTTCCCGCGGGAATCCGGGAGGAGACGGCTTTAGAAACGGGGGAAGGCGCGGACACAACGGAGGAGAGGCGCGAGCCGTAGGCGGAGTCGACGGTTCGCGGGGTAATTCCCGTTTTTTGGGCAGCGGCGTTGGCTCCCCGCGGGGTACTCTGGACACGACGATTGACCGGCATGGGCTTGATGGCAGTGGAACTACTGAGGGGTGCAGACAAAGAAGAGTAGGAGGGCGTCATGGTTCGGCGCGGCATGGGCGAAACAGAGCCGATTTTGCTACATTCCAAAAATCGAGGGGATTTTTACTCTCCGAAATAAGCACGATAGGTGGTGGAAGCAACCTCGAGAACGGCTCGAAAGATGGTACGAACTTCTTGAGAACGAGCTGAAATACCAATCTGAACATAAAAACCAAAATGGCGGGAAAGTACTTCGATCAGTGATTTTAAAGCAGAAGCGTATTTTTTAATAATGGACTCGGGCCAGAGAAGCATAATTTCCTTCACACAGCGAGAGATTTCAATTTGGATTTTATCGCTACAGTGAGAGGAGAGATGGGAGAGTGCCTTTTGCTTTTGAGATATCGCTCGAGGTAGTTGATTAGTCGCTCCATGTGGATGAGTGTAACGATGGATGTGCAGCACTCTGACACTTTCATGGAAATGGACTAGTTGTGAGAGTCGCAAACATCTGCTACGTTCACTCCAGATGCACACTTATCGATAATTCCAATAAAAATATCACAAGCTGCAAATTCAAATGGTTGACCGATTGCTCGACAGAGATCAGTAATGGTATTGCAAGCTTCACTCACAAGAGCACTTCGATTATCCGATACCTACAGCATTGATGCAAAGGGGAACCACAAACACATTTAATTAATCCATTTTTGATATTTGAATCAATCATATTAGCCCGAAGAGGACGCTGCGGGTCTTTGCAGAGTTCCTTCACATCAGAAGCACAACGAACACCAATACACGCAACTTTAAAAGAGCGTCTCTCTGCGTCTCCCATGGAACCACACGATTACTAAAACAGGCACTGATACTGTCTAATGTCGTCGATCCGGACATCTACATCGATCTTAAATGTCCATTCCTTTATGCATTATATTTCTTACCTTTTGATCACTAATCCAGTGTGAATATCACTATTGAGACTATTTTCTAAGTAAATGTGAATAACCGCGGGTCTTGTTCGATTTTGATCCCCTGTCGAATCCACTTAATTCGTTGAGATTCTACATGGATTCTGTGAACAATCGATTCTATCGCACAGTGATGCACGCAGTTGCTGCTTCGGAGTTAATGGTTCCCAAACTCCTTCCTTCTCGCTCCCTCGATTTCGAACAAACAACCCATAATACAGCACATTACAATGTATCGAACGCACTCGGCCGTGTGAGTCGCATCGATAATGTTACTGCATCGAACCACTCTTCCAGCAGTTCCTTTGTCGGCGCCTTCAGCGTAATCGGTTCCGCATTAAACCTCCTTATCTACACATCCCGCGCACCCTCGACTCCCTACCACACATTCGCGGGGATGTTCATCTTTCCTCCGGAACTGCACGATATCATTCGTGGAGATTTCGATCGAATTCTACGCTCAACTCCCCGCCAAAAACCGCACCGGCCTCCGCAGCCCGCCAATCACGATCTTCCCCTTTTCCACGTACACGTCCTTCTTCCGCTTGCAGCAGAAGCACCCGTTCCCCGCGGTTACGTACAGCTTGCAGGACATCGGCAGCTACGCTGGATCCCCGTCCCCATCCTCACTTTCGCGGGAATCTTGGGCGGCTTCGCGGGCGTTTGGCTGTCGGAGAGGAGCTGCATGGCGCGATTGGAGGAAATCGAGGGGAGCGTCGGGTGGTCCGGAGGCAGCACATAATAGGAGCCACTGCCCACATATGACCCCATTCTCCCAGTGGGTCCATTGGGACTATTGGGACTATTGGGACCATTTGCACCATTAGGTCCATTGGGACTATTGGGTCCATTGGGTCCATTGGGACAATTCGGGTCATTTGGGTCATTCGGGTCATTCGGGTCATTCGGGTCATTCGGGTCCATCCAATTCAAATAGTCCTGTCCCGAAATCATGTCATTCAGCTTGTCAAAACAGCTGTCAAAGACGCTCTGCGCTCGATTTCCCCGCCAAAAATTACCGCCAATCCCTCCATCTCCCGGTTCGTCCATTTTTCCGGGATCTCCGAGACTTCCGCGGGGATCGAGCAGATCACGCGGCAACTCGCGCACTTCCTACGTTTGACCGCTTTTCCCGCGGGTACTGCGAGGGATCGTCGAAAAAGCCGAACTTCTGGAACCAGCTGGACGCCTAGAGTGAACGGATTCCCGCGGGGCTACGAGGATCTGATCGAGCGTGGGGCGCAGCGTGAGTTTCGGCGACATGCAGAGCTGGAGAAGGTGGAAAAGGTCGTCTGAAAACCCGTCCAATTCTGGAATGACGGAATAATTGACCATTTTTTCGATGTGTTGGTCGAGATGGCGGATCGGGAAGGGATTCGTTCCCTTCACCAGAACGTACAAAGAAACGGCCGCGGCCCAGATATCCGCGGCAAAACACGAAACGTGGAAACCCTGCCAGTACTCGGGGAGAACGAACTCCTTTTTCCCGGGGAGGTTGAGCCGCAGCCCGCCGAACGAATCGTCCTGGAAGCTGGAGAGGAAGGAAAGCCCGCCAAGTTTGACTTCGCTAGCAATCAGGGAAACGGGGAAACATCGAACCCGGTCGAACTCAGCAGGATGTTGTCCGGACGAATGTCGAGGTGGCAGAGCTGGCTCGTGTGCACTAGGCTTAAAGGGGAAACGGGGAAACTACGATCGCGAAGAGTACGGAAGACGTGCCACATGATGTAGGCGGCTTCCGCTTCGCTGTAGAGGCCGGGGGCGTGGGAAAATGCTTCGTCGGGAACATTGGGGAGCTGCTTTCGGATGACGGAGGAAAAGGGAAGAGCCGATTCGGGGCGCTCATACCCATCCGCGTTTTCTGTCATAGAGACGCCTATGTCGCAATATTCTTCGACTAGATATTAGAAAATTGAGATGAACCGACAGAGATAGGCAAATAACTTGGAATCGCGAATCGCAATCAACGTACACAGTCCTGAAAAGTTTGTCTGCATTCGAATCTTCAGTTCGTTCACCAAAAACGTGATGCCATTGTCGGGTTTAGTAGATACAGGGGAATTGAACCAATTGGTCATGCGAAGACGTGACACTTTATTAACAACCTTGATAAGGAAGGAATAGGAAGATTTATCGATAATGACACTAATCTTTCTAATTCCAAGATCTTTGCGGGAACAAAACACTGTCTGCACATGGATTTGCAGGTGTTTGTTGTTGACAGTGGTATCCCAAACTCTACGCTCCCAAACACAATTCGCAGCTTACATGGTTTCCATCGTCTCGAGTATTTAAAAAACACTTTCAGTACCCAAATCCAAAAACAGGCAGGTTAAAACCGAAAGCCTTAAGAATTATAGAGGCAAAGCAAGATTCAAAGGCGTTTCATTTGGATAAACAATTGCTCGAGGACTGCGCTCCCCAGGCGCAAACCAGACTCCAATGCACGTTTAACTCGAACAAACACTCACTTAGACAGCGCTCAACAAGGGCGTGTTATCCACGATTCTGATCGACTTCGGATTGTTGTTTCGCTTCTTCTTGATGTACAGCACGATGGCTAGCAGCACCACGATCACGATGACCACCAAGACGGTGAGTCCGACGGAGAGGAGCATGACGGATGGCGAGTACTTGCAGTCCTTTCCGAAGAAGTGATCATAGCAGACGCAGACGGCCTGCTCCTCATCGCAGGCTCCCTTTCCGGTCTGGCAGTGCGGGTTGCACTTGTCGTTCTCGAAGAGGGTGTCGCACTTCAGTCCCACGAAGCCTTCGTTGCACGTGCATCGTCCCGTTCCGTACATTTTATCCGAGCACGTTCCCTGTCCCGAGCACACCTCTCCTTCCTTGCTCGTCGGGCACTGGTCCTTGCACTCCCGGCCCCAGAACCCGCTCTTGCAGTCCGCGCAGCGCGTCGACGCGTCGAATCCCGAGTCGCAGTCGCACTCGCCCGACCCGAAGTGGCCGTCCAGACATTTACCGTGACCGTTGCAGCTCTGGCACGCCTCGCAGCGCGGGCCGAAGTAGCCCTCCGCGCAGGTGTTGCACACGCCCGACGGGCTCCAGCCCTCGTCGCAGATGCACTGGCCCGTGCCGCTGAGTCCGTCGTCGCACGAGCCGTGGTTGCAGGCCTTGCACTGCTTGCAGTCCGCGCCGTAGAAGCCGGGCAGACAGGTCGTGCAGGAGGTGGACGGGTCGAAGCCGTCCTTGCAGACCTGGCAGATGCCCTCGGGGCAGTTCACCGCGATCTCGAGCGAGGTGGAGTCGGTCTCCTTCTCGGGGTTGAGGTAGAGCACCGAGATGTAGTAGAAGCAGTCCGTGCAGTACTTGGGGTGGTCGTTCGTCAGCTCGATCTCCGCGCGGTCGTCCGCCTGCGTGGTGTCCGTCCAGTAGTGGTTGTCCATGCTCGCGTGCGGCGTGGTCGACACGAACAGCGCCACGTGCGGCTGGTCCTTGCTCAGACGCGACACCGCCACTTCCACGGGCGCGTAGGACGTCTGGTGCAGGTAGAAGAACGTCTCGATGCCGCCCGTGAACGGCATGAGCGAGCCTCGGCGCGGCTGGTTGGGCTGCAGCATGAACGGAGCTAGAGGAGTGAGAGAGAACTGCGAACCGCACCGTATCCCAGCTCGGCGGAGATGGTCCAGGCGGTCTCGTTGGTGGTGCGGATGGAGAAGCCGAACGTGCAGTCAGCGCAGAAGCCCTCCTCGTCCTCGGTGATCACGAAGTCGATCGCCTGCTTGTACTGCTCGTAGGTCGTGTACGAGTACGTCTTCGGGTCCTTCGGGTTGTTCACCGTCACCACGCTGTTCTGGCGACCGTAGTACCTACGCGTCATCGCTCCCCGCCAAGCGGCACGTGTTGAAGCCCAGCGCGTAGACTGGACCGGGGTTGTACGTGTAGACGACGTTCTCCATGTGGATGCGCAGCGACTGCACGTCCACGAACTCCTCCTTGTGGACGTTGATGCGGTAGTAGCTGATCGCCACGCGCTCGTTGGTGCTCACCATGTGGTGCTTCTTGCCCGTGTAGAGATAGTTCGCCTGCACGTGCAGAATGCGGTACACGATCGTGAAGGTGCACGGCTCCATGGTGTCCTGGCTCGACACGCGGATGTAGTACACGCCGCCCACGGAGAATCCGCGGTCCGAGCGGTTGATGCCCCACTCGCGCAGCGCCACGCTGTAGAGATTGGTGGTCTTGATCACGTCCCACTCGCCGTCGTCGAACGACTACGGTGTGAGAGAGACAGGGCGCGAAAAACAGTGAGGGACACGTCCACCTTGAGCGTCACGAGCGGCTGATCGGTCTTCTGCAGACCCAGGTAGATGTCGGTATCGTATTCCTGGTCGCGCAGGTCGATGATGAAGTCCTGGCCGTGATTGTCCGGCATCACGGTCGCCGTGGTGATCTTATCGTGCTCCAGGTGGATGATGCCTGCACATCATCCAGCAGCGGCATGGACGTACCGCGATCCACGTTGAACTTGAGCGAGAAATAGAGCGGCTCGTTCGCGGCGTGGTCCAGGATCGCGATCACATAGCGGTAGCAGTCGTGGCAGAAGAGCTCGTCGTTGCGGCCGAGCGCGTAGAAGTACTCATCGCCCACACGCTGCAGTCTACGTCGTCAAAGCAAGCCTCCGCGTTCACTCTTTCTTGGCGCGACTCAGGGGATTCGGAGAGTCCGAAATGTATCTATGCTTAGAGACAGCATCCTGCCCTACACTTTGAACGTGCTCTCCGCGAAAATGTCGTAGTCCACGGTGACGTTCACGAAGTCCACAGCGCCCGACGAGCTCGAATCAGTACCGATCTACTTCACAAAGGGGGACTGCGAGTACGTATCCACGGTAGGTGACGACTTCGTAGGACGAATGGCCGGGCAACACGCCAGAGAGCGGCTGGTTGTTCACAAAATCGTACATGGGATCTTGGGTTCATTATAGAGAAAACGGATTCCATACTCTCAACACGCGCAGCAATAGCCCAGTACTTGACATCACCGCTGTACAGGTTGCTGATTTCAATCTTGAGCGTGGAATCAGCGCACACCGTGGGGTCGTTGTAGCGGGTCATGGCAATTCCATTCTCAATGGGTCTGCATAAAAGTCGTGAAGAAAAAGGTACATGGTCTGAGTGGTTTCACAGGTAATCTTTGCCTCTCCAATCTTCGAACCGACTGCAGCAGAAGACCTAGTGCATTCACCCTGGATGCGTAGCTAACCAAAATACGAGTCAAGCTTGACTCCAAGAACGTAGTAACGAAGATCCTTAACTCCAGTCATTTCGATTTGAATTGTCTCCTCCTTGGCTAAAGTTCCATTCACAGGAATATTCTCAATCATCGCTTCGGCATTGCTCACAACAGTTCCTACAAGTAACTAGATCACCCAGGAGGAATACGTTCTGCCGTAGCTAGAGCCACAAGAACAAGCAGGAATGCAAAGTCACGTACAAATTTCATTTTATGAAATCAAAATGGTTTGATGACGATGTGTTTCAACCCATTATGATGATTATAAGGAACATAGATATCTATACAGTTTTCTATTAGGTTGAAAACCTGGTTATTTTCGTTATTCTGAATAATATTAATAATAATATTAATAATAATAATATCAAGGAGAGGAAATGTCAATGCCATGGTTGTGTAAAGAGTTGTTATTTCGAAGTGGATTAGTTCATGTGTATTCGTGATTATCGTGGTTTGATGTTCCGAGACTAGGGGTTTGATAGCAGTTGATTAGGAGTTTTGTTGGGTGTGCGAACATTACACAAAGGAGGAGCACTATTGAGTAGAAAATACTCGTTTCATTTCTATAGTTTTATAGTTGGAGCATTATGTTCGTTTAGACAAATTTAGTTTATGAAACCAGAATATACTTTCTCTGTACAAACCACGCACAAGAAAAATAGAAGCACTAGGCAACCAACCCATTTTCTTCTCATACACAACCATTTCCTATACTATCTAAATTCCTAAAACACATTTTCAAACACTAAAGCATTATCTGTGTGTTCTGCATCATTTCCCTTGCATACACGCAAATCCACTTTTAAATTCTCTCCATCCATCCAAATGGCGTCAACACAACGCACAACCGTAGAATTCAAGGAGAAATGATCCTTGTTCTTAACCATAGCGCACTCTAACCACTATACGTACATGAGTATTTTTGCTTGAATTGCAAGATATACTTTGAATCTATTGCTTAAACTCTATTCATGGCAACTCGTAATTTAACACCTGAATTTAACAAGTTCCGTCAAGCCTCAGGACGAAAGCGACCTCTGTCACCTATGAGCACTCCGAATGCCTCTCTTCTTCATGGAGAAATGTACGGATTATGACTTATCAAGTTATTCTCAGGGAACCAATGGGTAGTGAGTCAATCGCTCCTTATTGGGTTGAGGATATTGAGCGCGTGCGTGCTGATCTGGACGATATTGAGAAGAAGAGTAGCATGTTTGTGATCCAAATAATCCTACTAGTTAACGCTTTGGAAAATATCTATAAAGATCGTGTTTCTGCAGTGTTTGACGACAAGGTGAAGCAGTGTGATGCACAGATTGCTAGCTATACCCAGAACTTGACTCGCATCTTCCACAAGTGCGAGACTCGTCTTAAGAATTTACAGAAGCGACGTACGCTCCTTTCTATTTTTTTACTTATGCAAAGAGTACACAAATGAGACAGAAGAGCGAATCTTCAAGAATGTCCAGAAGGGTCTGGCGAGCCGTCTGCAGGAGTTGTCCATGTCCTACCGTAAGAAGCAAAAGCAATTCTTCCAGAAGCTGCGCAGTGTCGGCGTACTGGTTGTTCGTGGTGTGTTCATGTTGTAGACGACGGGTGAGGATGACGATCTAATCGAGACTGTTCGTTCTCTGCTCTCCTTTTGACGCGTAGGGATTTAATCAGAGCCAGAAGGGCGCTATGGACATGATGCGTCGCGAGGCGCAGTCGCGTGAGCAGGAGATTCAGCAAATCGGTTTGCTTGTTAGGGTTGAGTAACTTGCAGCAAAGAGCGCGCAGGAACTGGCTCAGATCTTCAAGGATCTGAATCAGTTGGTGATCGAGCAGGGAACGATCGTGGATCGAATTGATTATAATATGGACCAGGCCGTGACGAAGGTGCGCGAGGGACTGCAGCAAGTGGTGAAGGCGGAGGAGTATAAGAAATCGAGCCGACCCTATGGCATTATGGCTGTTATGATTCTGATTATTATTATCTGCGGATATCTCAATTATCTAAAGACAAAGGATTAATTTGGCGTTCGCTGGAGTGTTTGTTGGAGAATGAAACGGGAACAAAGTCGTGTTACTATGGATGGAGTGGCTGTCGTATCCATGTTCATTGTAGGGTAGAAAGAATCCATGTTCCACGACGAGACTTCGAAAGGAAGTGAAGTCGGAATTAGAGAAATCATTTGGTCCCAAGCTTTCGACTTCTCTCATTTTTATTTTCAATTTGATTTTCAGATAGATAAGCTATATGGCTCGTTCTGCCTCTTGGACTCTTCTTATTTCTAGAACCTATTTTAGAAGTCGAAAATTTGCATGTCACGATTGCTGGCAAGGAGGTTTTGAAGGGAATTAACCTTACGATCAACGAGGGCGAGACCCACATTCTATTTGGACCCAATGGTTCGGGAAAGAGCACCCTCATTAAGACTATCATGGGATTAAGGTACATTTGCTCCCCTCCCTCTACTCTATAGCGACTGCATAGTCACGGAAGGATCGATTCGCTTCCTCGGACAGGACATTACGAATACTTCCGTTTTTGAATTGAAACGATAATGATTCTAGATTTCTGACCGTTCCACTATGGGAATCGGCATGCTATTCCAAAGTCCTCCCGAGATTGAGGGACTTCCTGTAAATCGTTTAGTTTCCACTGCCTTTAGCGATAACTCTGAAGAGTGTTCGTTCTTTGTCGAATTCTCACCTCTAGACATCCAGAAAGTTAGCGAGATCACCACCATGTCGAATTTAGTCTCTCGCGATCTGAACGTGGGTTTTTCCGGTGGCGAACGCAAGCGTTGCGAAGCCTTCCAGCTTCTGCTCCAGAAGCCCCTGCTGTCAATGCTGGACGAGCCAGAAAGCGGCGTTGATTTGGAGAGTGTTCGCGTCTTGGGCAAGGCGCTTTCCTCCCTGCAGAACCAGCCAATCAACGGCCGACGCTCCGCCACAATCAGTAGAATCGTTACTCCTCGTTCAATCTAGTCATCACGCACACTGGAAGCATTCTGGAGTTCATGCATGGTACGATCGCTCATGTGGTCATGGAAGGTCGGATTGCGTGCACGGGCAACGAATACGTGTTCTTCCGTATCATTCAAAGCGAAGGATTCGAGTAGGTTCTTCGGAATTTTGTAAATCGAGACATTTCCGTAACTTGAAATGCGATTTGGAGTGTGCGAAATGCAGCGAAAAACCGACACACAATGGTCCGAATTCGATCGAACTCTCATAGATAGCGTATATGGAAGAGTTCGAATCGAAATCCAATCTCTTGGAATCGTTCATGAAATCGACATCATCGACCTCGTCTTCATTGAATCCAACGCAAGCAGAGGAAAAAGAAAAAGAAAAGCCGACTTCGCTTCTGGACACCGTCGATCAAATGGAGGACGACGCCTTCTTCGAAGAGACCAACTACGCCTTGCCTTCCAACGTCCGAATGGAAGAAGAAGGGCTCAAAGTCGATACCACCGATGGTAGAAACGTGGAAACCGAGTAACCAACAGAGATCTACGGAGGGAGATACGTGCAGCGCGATCAGACCATCGAAACCGTGGAATCTTTCGAAGATGGCATCGAAGTGATCACCCTAGGAAACGCCCTCAAGAAATATGATTGGTTCCGTAGGTTTCCACGTTTCCACGATTAGGGATAGGCGAGAAGTACTTCTGGAAGGCTCTCTCCCGCGACAAAAACGACATGACCCGCGCGGTTGCTCAAAACGACGAAACAGTTTCCCCAGTTTCCCCTTTTCACGGTAGAATCCGACGGGGTACGTGATCATCGCGCATCCCGGCGCCCGCTCGGTGAATCCGGTGAACGGCCAGCTGATCATGGAGAGCAGCCACATGCAGTACGTCCACAACATTCTCATCGCGATGCCGGGCTCCCAGCTCACCGTCGCCTCGTTCTGTTTCTCTGTTTCCACTTTTCGTCTGACTTGCAGGCTCGTATCACTGTCCCTCGCAGCAAGCTTCTGATTCTATCGGCGGCGACCACTACGGAATCTCGGAGTTCTACGTGGAGTCCAACGCGCAATTGTGTTTCTCGATGGTACGGTTCGATCGAATTCTCTCATCTCGATCCATTCCTGGTGCCACGCCTTCGCGGTCTGGCCGGTTTCCGCGGCGATCGTCGACGACAACGGCGTGTTCTACAGCAACTACGTCTGTCTGGAGCCGGTGCAGCGCGTGAAGGTAGTCCCGCGGGGGAGCTCTCGAGCAGATGTGTCCGGTGGCGAATCTCCGCGGGAAAAACGCGGTGGCGAACTTCTCGAGCGTGCTGCTGGCGAAGGAAGGGACGGATCTGGACATTGGGTCGTGCGCGCTGCTGAACGGCGAGGGCTCGCGAAGCGAGAGCATTACGCGCACGATTTCGAAGGGCGGAACGGTGTTCGCGCGCGCGGATATCCACGGGAATGCGCCGAACACGAAGGGACACATCGAGTGCCAGGGCCTGGTGATCACGGAGGGAAAGGGGATGATCTACTCGATCCCGCAGATTAGCGGCGGGTTTGGAACCGAGCTGTCGCATGAAGCGGCGATCGGGAAGATCGCGAAGGACAAGATCGAGTACTTGATGACGCGGAGGATGACCGAGGAAACCGCGGTGTCCGTGATTATTCGCGGGTTTTTGAATGTGAAAGTGAAGGGAATTCCGAGGTCGGTGCAGGAGCAGATGGATGCGGTGATTGAGCAGGCCAGCAAAGAAGGATTTTAGGCGGGAGGGAAGTGCAGGATTGAAATAATCAAGAAGAGATAGCTTGCTATCGATGTGTTTGTTCGAAACTGGTTGGTGGAATTGGAGAGTCGATGTAGAATCGTGCGGGTTTGGAGTGCTTGTGCATGCTTATGCAACGAGGAACTGGATGAGAATGGAAAGAGAGCCAGTTCTACCTATCTTTGTCAAGCTACACAACCCAACCCAACTCTGTGATTTCAGTATGGTTTTGTGTCAACAATACTATTTAAATATGTATATCTATTTAGTAACAAAAGAGTTACCTCATATTCAAATCTACTTGAGAACGAGGACAAGAGGACGTGGTACTGTTTAGTTTACACATACACTAATTGATATTCGCATCTACGCATCTCCACATAGAATCTATTGTGCCAAAATTGGCCATTTTTTGTTGTAAATATAACAAAGTTTATTTCGAAGGTATATTGCCGCATCAAAGAATGAATTCGCAATGTTGATTCTCTTATCTACAATTACCAATAGCTGTTCTAAAAGAATTCAAGGGATCACAATATCTACAAGATAGATATATCACCCTCGGCCAGCCTGAAACAATTATGAGGAATGGGATAAAATACACTGCTCAACGCTATCAAGGAGTTCATAAGGCCGAATTTCTTTTACGGTCTGAATCAGGGGATGTATTTCTTTTTGAAAATAACGTACTGAAACAGAAGTGGCAAGAAAACGAGAAAGGAAAAAGATCGGAAGAATTTACCGCCTACAAGAATGGTCGAGTGGATTTCAGTCAACGGTTCGAAGATATTCTGGAACAAAGAAACTTCAATCGCATTACTAATTACGAAAAAAGCCAACGAATGGAAATCTGGTCAGTCCAAACGGGGCATTTGCTGTATCACGGAGGGTACAACGAAAGACGAATGAAAGAAGGCTGGGGTATCGAATACGATGAAGAAAGCGGAAATGTGGTTGTGGAAGGGATGTGGAGCAAAGGAGTATTGAAAGAGGTGATTCGATGTTTCAATGGAGATACGATGACCGAATTGAAGCGAAACGGAGCAGATAGCTTGGATCCAATGAAACGAATTCCAATCTATGTGGGTGGATTTCGCTATGATGAAGACAATGAACGATTTATTCGTGAAGGGAAAGGATGTTTGATCGATGAAAAGACTGGAATCGCAACTCGAGAATGTGAATGGAAAGATGGAGCAGAAGTGAGTGGAGTGGATCTAACTGATGGATGGTACCACCCAGTTCCACTACAACTGGTGATCCAGAATACTAAAGACCTCACTGATATGAGTCTGCAGGTAACAGATTTGACGATATCATCGAATTGCTGTAACGACTTGAATCAATTGGATCTGAACAATTATAATAGGATACGATCCATTGAAATCGGTGATGATTGCTTTGAATCCGTGCTAGAAGTCAAAATCGAAGGATTGAATCGATTGAGAAGTTTGAAAATCGGAAAGAATTCGTTTACTCAAGTGAAAGAAAGTGATTGGGAAAATGATAACAAGGCTGCGGAAAGTAGAGTGATAATTGAATTTAAGTCATTCACAATAATGAATTGTAAATCATTGAAAACGATTGAAATTGGTGAGGGTAGTTTCAGTGATTATGGAGGAGATTTTGTATTGAGAAATTTGAATTCACTGCAGTCAATTACAGTTGGGAAAATTGGAACCAAGTCATGGAATTTTGACATACACAGCTCATTTATACTCCAAGGTCAGTGAATTAGGGGATTTTATTTTGATTAGATCTTCCAAGTCTACAATCCATTTCATTGGGTGATACATCATTTGGGAGCACGTCGACAATAATTGAAAGTATTGAATGAGTTTGTAGGGAATATTGGTATAGATCTTCCATTATTACAATCCATTGAACTCGGTTGGAGCGCACTTGCTGGATATAGTGAAGGTGAATCCTGCTCATTGATAATGCGGAGTATGAATGAAATGATTTGAAATAAACACTTCAGATCTTCCCAATCTGGCATCTATTATCAATTCTAAAGGATATAGCTTCCATTATAAGCGTTATTTGACATTGGAAAGTAGTTCAAAAAGAAACAATTAAGTGTATTTAGATATTCCAAATCTCAAAATGGTGGATCTACCTCATTCATTTTATAGTATTATTGACGTCGTTGTGAATAGTACATAATAGATATCGCAATTTACTTTAGATGTTAGCCCACTCCTTTCTGGACTATTACCTTCAAAAATATACCATTCCAATATTATCCGATCAATGAAATCATCTATTATTCGGATCGTTCTTCCCAATTGGACTTGTAATGATAATGAATATACCATATTTGATTTCTCTCGATTTACTAATGTTGAATACATTGAGATTGGTGATGAATGTTTTGGCTCAGTGAAAACATTCCAAATCGATGGATTGAATCGATTGAAAACGATCAAAATCGGAAGCAATTCATTTACTCAGAAAAAGAATACTTACGGAGAGGATAAATCGAAATCATTCCACATATTGAACTGTGAATCATTGGAATCCATTCAAATTGGTGGATATAGTTTCAGTGATTATGCTGGCGACTTTGAATTGAAGAATCTACCACAATTACAATCCATTCAAATTGGTACAATTGGAAGTAGGTCATGGAATTTCTATTCTAGTTCGTTTGTGATTCAAGGTATTGATATGATATTGAATATTTGAATGATGCATAGATTTTCCAAATCTGCATTCTATTGAACTGGGTGATCATGCATTCCATGAATCTGTATCAACAGTAATCGAAAGTATTGAATGAATTTGAATAAAATGATTGATCTGTAGATCTTCCATTATTACAATCCATTCAACTCGGTTTGGCTGCACTTTGTGGAAATGATAATGAATCATGTTCATTGACAATGCGAAGTATGAATGAAATGAATCGAAATGATTGAATTATTAGATCTTCCTAGTCTAACATCCATTATCAATACTGGAGGATATGGTTTTACTTGTCCTCGTTCTGCTGTTTTGGAAAGTAGAATGAAATTAGGAATATCGATAGAATTTAGATATTCCAAATCTTAGAAAAATCAATTTACCTCAGTCATTTTGGAGAATTCATTCCAAATCCGTGATTAGTATTGTTTGTTTAGTTCACTTTAATCTTAGATGTTTCTTTGATTCTCGCTGATCTTGTCGGTATCAGATAGTTAAATTCCTTGGAATAGGATCTCGTGGTTATTGAAGAAGATGCGTATGCAGGAAGTGAATCAAGATCCGTTGCCTATGTTTTTTTCATACTATTGTATTAAAAGTGTACAAATACACTTAATAACAAACGAGTTATCACTTAACAGCTCTTAAACCAGTTTTGTAACAAAAAAATAAAAAATAAGTCGACTAACATTAAAATTACTCTTCTTTAATTGGATATAGTATTCTTTAAGCGATTCCATGCACTCTACTTCTTGTGTTCCTCATAGGGCGAATCACTGGAATCACTAATATACTCAGAGTCAGTTTCTTCTTCAATAATTAAGTCGGAAATCAATGGAGAAACATCTATTTGTAAGTGGGCAATGGATCGTTGTACTCGAAACAGATTTTGATTTGACAAAACAAAACGAATGAGGAAGATTAACGTCTTGAAGATTTGGAATATCTGAATAATCAACGATGAATGCACTAGATTACCTTTCAAAATTACTTTTCGAGGGCGATGGAAGCTATATCCTTTGCTACATGTAATGGACTTCAGATTTGGAAGATCTACACCCATCATTTCGAATCCTTTCATCCATACTTCGCATTTTCAAGGAACTTGATGAACTGCTTTTGTTTCCATAGAGAGCATACCGGCCAAGTTCAATAGATTGCAACGACGGAAGATCTATTCCCGTCATTTCATTCCAATCGATATCTACTTTCGATGATTGTTGATAAGGAATCATAAAACGCTCGTTCACCTAATGTGATGGTTTTTAGATTTGGAAGATCTAGTATTTCAACAGAGTTCAAAGAATATCCATACTTCGTATTATAAACGAACTTCTATAGAAATTGTATGACTTTCTTCCAATTGTACCAATTTTGATCGACTGTAATGACGGAAGATTCTTTAATCCAAATCCTCCTGAACAGTCAGAAAAACTGAAAATTCCGATTTCAATCGTTTTCAATGACTCACAATTCTTGATCTGAAATGAACTTGAACGACATCTGCGTTTCTCTGTATTCATGGTAAATGAATTTGATCCGATTTTCAAACAACTCAGCTTCTTTATACCATCAATACAGAAAGACTTCGTTAGTTTATAACACTCATCGCCCATTTCCAGTAATTCCAGTGAAGGAAAGCGAGAAAAGACAAGAGTGGAACTATGATCATCATTACAGCTGTTATTTGGAATTTTGATTGAAGAAACAGATGAATCCATCTGTTCAATATCGTTCGAAATAAAAGGAATGGCTGACGATAACTCTTCGCTAACATCTAAAAATAGAAATGATCCATAGTAAGTACTTGAAATTGATTTCTTCTGAATGTACTGAAAAGAAGAATATCTCCAATGAGAATGAGGGATTTCGATTGAATGTAGATTCGGAATATCTAAATACGATCAATACTCTATTCTTTGTCTACTCTCCAATGTCACTGAACGAGAAAAAAGGAAACTGTCTTCTTTGGAACTTAAGGATGTAAGACTTGGAAGATCTAATAATTCAATCATTTCGAATCATTTCATTCATACTTCGCATTATCAAGGAGCATGAGTTGTCATTCCATGATCCACATAGGCAATGAAAGCCGAGTTGAATGGATTGTAATGATGGAAGATCTACAGATCAATCATTTCATTCAAATTCATTCAATACTTTCGATTACTGTTGATACAGATTCATGGAATGCATCATCACCCAGTTCAATGGAATGCAGATTTGGAAGATCTATGCATTTATCAAATCATCAATATAATATATCAATACCTCGAATCACTAACGATCCATACCAGAAATTGCGAGAATAACTTTTAACAGCACCAAGTTGAATGGATTTCAATTGTGGTAGATTCTTCAATTCAAAGTCGCCTCCAAAATCACTGAAACTATGTTCACCAATTTGAATCGATTCCAATGATTCACAATTCAGTATACGAAATGATTTTGTTTTAACATCAATTTTCTCATTTTCGTTTTCGTTATTGTCCATATCCCCGTCAAACCAAAACTTCTGGTGTGTAAATGACTTCTTTCCAATTTTGATAGTTTTCAATCGATTCAATCCATCGATTTTGAATGCCTTTACAAACCTAAAACATTTATCGCCGATTTCGATTGATTCCAAATTCAGAAACCATGAAACATCCCAATCGCGTAATATACACCTGTCGATCAGCTTCAAATGTTTCATTCCCATATTCAGTGGTTTGCTTCCATCGCCTTCATATACGACGTCAGTATCACATTCTATACCATTGTACCATTTACATTCTTTCACTAATTTACCATATCGATCATACACGATTCCTCTTCCAAATCGATTGTCATCACACCAATATCCTTCATATTCAATACATCCATTATTATGATAACTCGTTCCATATCCAAATCGTTTCCAATTGATCATTATGCCCTTGTACACCAATATTCCATCATCATCATACATTTCACCATATCCAAATGGAATTCCAAACTTGTTTTCTGTCAATATCAATCCTTCAAATCGAGTCCCATGATCCAAGTCCACTATTCCTTCTTCAACAATGGATTGTTCTTCATTATATGAAATATCACCAATTTGATGATTTCCGAACACTTTCAACACTTTCTGCTCATTGAGGACAAATCCTTGATTCATGAATACTCCATTATTGAATCGCAACATTGCACACTCTCCATTACTCAATATGAGTGAAATCCAACCATCTACTTCCCATTTCTCATTCAAGTATGCCTGCACATTTTGGATAATGGAGCTATCAACACTATAGCCGACAATAAAGGAGTTGACAAAATCAGCAATCTTTTGCATCGTAATATAAATAAAATATGATTGTTTGATTTTTGGCGGCAAACCTATTTTTGCCTTAGATGGGAATTTCTCAACACAAATAGATTGATTTGGCATTTCTTTTTATTTCAAAGACTTTAATACTTTTTATTGAAAAAAATCGGGAGTGGAAGTTGATTGTCACTAATTCAGGTCATTGTATTTGTAATAGCGTTATAATTGTTTGTTTATATTAAGAATACTTTCTTTGAGTTAGTTGTGTTGCTTTTGTACAGTCGTATAATGTTATCCTGGATCAATGCAGTTTTAAACGTGTTTTAAACCATATTAAAGGAGAATACATGATAATTTTTTTGTCATGAGAATAGAAAGTTGATATGTCACGGTGAATTCAATGAACAACGTGCTTTCATTCAACAATAATTCTTACAGTTGTACAAGGATCAGAGCCACAAATTGCCTCATGATGCTGTGATTGCCTATCATTCTCAGAGTGGATGACCTAAAAAAGGATTGGAGAAATTGTATTCGATGTCTGATTTGGATAAGGATGGTCGTTTGGACTTTGCTGAGTTTGTGATTATGATTCACATTTTATTCACCTGTTGTAATGGCGTTCCTCTTCCTCAAGAATTGCTTGCGAGTTTGATTCCTCATCGAAGGTTCATTTAGCGAGCAACATATTGGTGGAAACAGTCATGCCTAATCCCTTGGTTCCTCTTCTTAGTTCTGGTATGGTGCCTAGACCTCGCCCTAGATATCGTCCGGAAATGGAGCCGAAATCATCGATGGTGTGTGATCCATTCATTGGTATCTCTGATGATTGCCAAAAGTGCAATCCTTTTTTCAATAAGTGCGGTGGATTGAATTATTGTCAATACAATGGAGTGGATCAATATGAGAATAGGAATGCAAGAACATAAAGTGAAGAGGAAAGCGGAATGGAGTATATTTATGTCTCAGAAACGGATTCTTCTTCCTCTTCTTTTTTTCTTCTTCTGAAGTAGATACAACCATATTTACATTATCTGATATATGTGGTATGCAGATGGAGCAACCACTTGATAGTATTCCTTTTTTATTATATCTAGATGTTTCTTTTATTTTCACTGATCTTGCTAATTGATGCAATGATCAGCAAATACTCTTTGTCCAATACAATGAATACTATCCATGATAATTCCAACTACTTTGTTACAACACCTGTACCATCCCATGAATCTTCCCAAAAGCTATTTTAGAAACTAGTGAAACAAACAGAACAAAACACAAAAAGAGCACTTGTATTCGTTGCCCATGAAATCCTAAATTGGTTAACTTCATCGGTATAAATCTCATTAATTGAGAGTTTCCTCTATCTATGACTTCCCCCACAAACAAAAAACCTGCTTGCACCACGCTACCACAACACGCGGGTCGACGCAACCTAACAAAGACAACACTTTCACGTGCTTTCGCCTCTATCCCTCACAATCTCGTTTCAGTTATTACCTCCTTCATAATACGCTTTGCAGCCTTTCTAAGTTTTCTTTCCACATTTGAAAGTTCTTCCTCGAGATTTTTAATAGAAAACTTATGATTGATCATGCACCTCAAAACAGCCATCTTCATTTTCTCCATATTCGTCTTCCCTCCGAACGCCTTGATCCATTCTTGCTTCCACTCCTCCTTCTCTATCCATTTTAGCACTCTTGAATTCGTTCCATTTTCTTCACTGAGACCGTCCTTAGTTTTCTGAAGCATTTCCTCCAATTCTCTCGATTCCTCTTCTGATTGCGTATTCGATGTCGAATTCGATGTCGAATTCGATCCATCCTTTGACAGCTTCTTTGCTTCGCTAATAATTTCCATCGCTTTCTTCACTACTTGTTTCTTCTGTCGTACTAACTCATAAGAGGACAAAAGTTTCTCCGATTCCCCTTTTCCAGGGATCGGGTTTTGATGCAAAATCTCGGCTGCGTTCCGAATGCATTCAAACACGTTCTCACTTGTCGCTTTTTTGGCATGGAGATGGTACAGAAAGAGTTCCATAAGCTTTGTCATCTGGTAAACAAAGAAGGATTCTTTATCGAAGACTTCGAAATAAAGCGATAAATGAGAATAAAGGATTCGTTCATTGACTTGATCGAACACTAAAGCACTGGGCTTCTTGGATTTGCAGTAATTAAAAAGATTCTGGAAAATCGAAGCTCCTTTTTCGAGGTTTTCGAACTAGAAATAAGAGAAGCTCGACAGAGCCACGTTGATTCGAACAAAGTCACTCGTGTTGTCGTAAATGTAAAAATCGATGGTGTCTTTTTTATGGAATCTCAACATCGAAACGGTCCACGAAATAGAAGGCGCCAAACTCATTTTCAAAAGCATTTCAAATCCCAAATTGTCATACAGCCAAAACATTGTGGCGAGTTGACTATGTTTCTGCAATTCCAAAACTCCTACCCTAGTTGGATTGTTGAACAGGCAATGCACCGTTTGACCCAGGATCGCATATCCTTCAATCCAATCGCGATCATTTGGCTCTACAACCATCCAGCAAATCCTTTGCTTCTACTTTCAGCATTCGCTGTCTCACAACTTCCGCTCCCATCATATCGATGTTATACAGCGATATCAAATTGGCGGTTTCTGTGCGCGCGATCCACTTCGCTTTCGGGTCGAATTGAATCGTTTCCCAGTTGTGGCCTTGCAGGGAGCAGTATGGAATCGGCGAATCGAGCGTTCCATGGAGACTAACCGTTTCTGGAAGCGTGAATTGCTGCGAGAGAGAATGGGAGAAAACGGATTACCGAAACGGAGCGTGATTTGTCCACTTTGAATTGGTGAATGGGCGTTCGAATCGAATACACCGATCCATTGAGCAGAACAAAGCTTAGCATCTTTCCCGCGTGAGGCAGTTTGATGTTGGGGATCTCGGAGAAGTCCAGAGAGGAAGGATCGTCGATGGGAGGCAGCTCACCGAGATTGCGAAGCTCTCTGAGAACCGAATCGAGAGCGGATTTGTCTTTTGTTTGCAGGGTGGAAGCGATGGAGCGGCAGAATGCAAGCTGAAGACTGTTGAGGGGAAGCGGATTGCCCTGGTAGCTGACCTGATACGAGGGGGAGATGGGGAGAGGAAGGTATTGGATGGAGTATTCGAGCGAGTCGATGGGGATCATGGCGGAAGCAGGGTCTTTTTCCCACCAAGATTTGGGGAAAATGGTTTCGAGAATCTGGGTAACGGGAGATTTCTCGGGAGAATCAGAACTCTTGGGTGATTTGCTGAGGATTAGACTGGAATGACGTTCACATACGAAGTGGATTTCCGACTTGGAAGTTTCTTGGGCTTCCATTTTCCCTCCACTAGCTTTATGAAGAGAGGGTGCTGTAGATGTAATTCGGAGCCAAGACACATGGAAGACGAGAAATCTAGAGAGAATATCAAATTATTAGTACCTCCTTTCTGTCCACTACAATAAGCGTCATTAGGAATAGTAAGATTCTTAAAGCTAATAAGATCAGAGGGTAGATGACTAGAGATAAGAATAAGCAATAGCAACAAACTCCTCTTCCTCATTAGAAGTATCACTTAGGTTCATCGATTCAAATTGGCCATCCTTTTTGAATCTCTTACACTCCAGCTCTAAAGGATGTTCATATAATCTACATATGTTGTATCCATTATGTGCCATACAGTTCTTTAACGGGAATGCTCCTTTTCTTCAATATTCCAAATCTAGGCTTAGGATGCTCAGTCTCCTTCACCTCATGATCCTCCTTGTCCTTATCCTCCATAATAGAATCAAATTGAGAAGGATTAACACAAACAAAAAAATTAAGCAATCGCAAACACGCTTTAGTCTGAGTCCGAATCCGAATCCGAATCCGAATCCGAGCTGGACGATGAATCCGAAGAAGACGCCTCCTTCTTTTTCGGCTCCGAGTCGGAATCCGAGCTGGACGATGAATCGGAATCGGAATCGGAATCCGAGGAATCGGAGCTCGACTCTTCCTTCTTCTTTTTCTCCTCCTCTTCCTTCTTCTTCTTCTCTTCTTCCTTCTCAGACTCGGAATCGGAAGAATCGGAATCAGAATCAGAAGAATCGGAGCTCGACTCCTCCTTCTTCTTCTCTTCCTTCTTCTTCTTCTCCTCCTTCTCCGACTCCGAATCGGAACTGGACTCCGAGCTCGATTCCTCCTTCTTCGCAGCCTTCTTCGCCAAAGCCTTGCCCTTCTTCTTCTTCTTTCCATCCGAGTCCGAATCCGAGTCCGAATCCGAATCCGAATCCGAATCCGAACTAGAAGAAGACGAAGACGACGAAGACGAGCTCGCTCCTTCCTTCTTCAGCGACTTCTTCTCGAACTTCTTCAACGCGATCGGCGAGAGATCGTCGCTATCGATGTCATCCAGATTGTGCACATCGCGGATCTGCGTGTCCGACTCCGTCGCCACGTCCTCGTCCAGCTCCTCGATGTCCAGCTCCTCCTCCTCCTTCTTCAGCTTCAGCTTCCAGGCATCTTCGTATTCCTTGTACTTGTCACGGACGTTCTTCTCTTTCGGCTGCATGACACACATTCCACACACAGTACCTTGAACGACTCGAACTCGAGGATCTGCGCATCCACGTTCTTCTTCTTGCTCTCCACCTTCTCCATCCAGTCGTTTCCGTACTTCAGAAGCAGCTGCTTCTTCAGCTTGAGCCAGTTCGCGATGTTCAGCTTGTCCACGAGGTACATAATCGTAGTCAGTTCCACCTTCACGTCATCGGGAACCTTATCTTCCTTCAGAACAGACTTCTACCGATGACTTTGAAAAGAAGACAATTACGTAAGCTTTGCGCACTTTTTCGACCATGGGATTCAGCACCTCGATCATAGCAAGAGTGTTCTCACCTCTCATACGATAATTAATGTTATCAAGCGCTTTCTGCTTTTTCTGTGTCATTACATAATACTCAATCTCCTTCAGCTTCTGTTCCATGCTCTTATTTAGCCACTCCACGTACTATAGGGATTAAACCAAATGACAAAACACACGCTTTCCAGATCATCTGACAAGGATTTCAGGCATTCCTTGCACTCCTCCTTGTCAAAGCCAGAGGATCGCAGCTTGAAAAACGCAGCGGCAGCAACTTTCTTAATACTACCCGGCTGAGCAACTAGGAATAATCCACAACTCGAGCGCGCGTACTGATTCCAGACATTACTTTTTGCAATACAAATACAACAAAGAAAATGAATGTCCATTTCAGATTTGTGCCCCTGCGAATCCCGCGGTTATTCGCGTACTTAAGCAAGGAAGTCAATGACCTAACTCCCTAAAGTCTTTCTTCCTCCTAAGAAGATGAAACTAGTTTCTACACATGCCATTCTCTTCTTAGTGCTGCTATTTTGTTATGTACGCTCTGTAACCCTGATTTCTAAACACAACAGACGACGAAAGTGTAGGATGTTATGGCGTGCCCATCACGTTCAGGATAAAATAGCAGATCATCCACACGCATTTGACACAGTGGACACTGTGACTGTCGAGGTGGACGTCAACCTCATGCTTATTGGATTCGACAAGCTCAATAGCGATTTTTCCTCTGTCAAAAATGGGATTCTCGAAGAACTCAACGATCAGAAGATTCAGCGCTTCCTTCAAGTCAATAAAAACACCATTCGAGAAAGGGAGGAGAGTCATGTTCGATACAAGATCCACTACCACTTTATCGACGTTCATCCCATGGTTCAAATCTACCTTTCTCAATTTATGAAATCATCGATTCGAGACATCGACATCAATCTCGTCAACGTCAAGGTCATCAATCCATACGATCTCCTCAACGAGTTCCGCGATCTCTTTTCCTACATCCACTCAAACTCGAATATGCCCGTCCCGAACAGCAATGACCTCATCATTGTGGTCATGAATAGCCAATTGAAACTAGAAGGTCGGTATGGCTTCTCCACCGAGTTTTCCTACAACGAGCAGCAAAAAATGATCGACGAAATCTTCAGAGAAAACTCCGAGTTTGCTATCGGAGAATTCATCTTTCCCTTAACCGAACCCATCACTTCCAACGACCGATACATGGAAACTCCCGAGGAAGAGGGAGTGCAGATGGGAGGAGGATTGCACGGAGTGGAGGAACACCCGATTTCTGGAGTTCCCGATTTCTCCACGACTTTTACGGAGAATTATTGCGTGTTGGATTGGAGAGAAATGTCCTTTTTGTGGGCACATTCCAAGTATTTGCAGCTATTGGAGCAGGATCCGCGGGGAATGTATCGTTCTTCGCAGGACCGGGTTCGTCACAATTTGGAATTATTGCGGGATTCGTACGATAAAAAGGAGCAAATGCGAATTCTGTTGATGATGAAACAACTGTTGAATAATGATTTTATGATGAATGATGACCTGGTCAATTTGGTGGAAGGAACGTTTGTTGTGAGTGATTACATTTTGATCAAGCAATTCTTGTTTATTGATGTGAGTGCGGGTCCCTTTGAATGGGGATCGATTCACGATGATTCGAATATGAGAACGAAGTCGAGTTTTGTGTGGGCGAATGATTATCAAGACGTTCTTTCTTGTTATGATCGATTGAGTGACGCATTGATCGACCACGTCAAGAGGGTTTCGCACTTTGTTTCCTTGTCTTGTGTATCGAAACAAAGCGAATGTGAACATGATTTGTCGGAAATCCAGCGAATTCAGAAGGTTGTGACGATGGATTCGTCGACGACCACTGATTTATATCGGTGTCTCATTTCATTGATTGAATTGGAACGCAAATACGAAAATAAGGAGAGAAAGCTGAAGTTTAACGAGCGGAATGGAAGGGAGATGGAAGTGATCATTCGCCTCTCGCGCGAAATCAGCGATTTTATCGCGCACTTCGTCACTCCTCCGTACGTTTTGTCATCTTTCGATTCCGATTTCGATACTAATTCCGATTTTGCTTCCAATTCCATTTCTATTTCTACTTCTACTACTTCTTCTTCTTCTTCTTCTTCTTCTTCTTCTACTTCTAATTCCAACTCCAATTCCAATTCTAATTTGAATCTTCTTTCCGATGATTCCACGTTTTCTACGTTTGAATATCCCATTCCTTTCGAATCGATTTCTTCTTCGACTTCAGCTTCAGCTTCGTCATCCCCTTCCAAATCGAATTCCAATCTTCATTCCACTTCCCAATCGAGGTTTGATTCGAGTTTCCACTTTTCCTATAGCTCTCGAATCGGTTCTAGTCCTTCTTTTGATTCCAAAGCAGGATCTCAATTCCAACCCGGAATTGGCGTTTCATCCCCTTCGAAATCGAATTCTGAAAAAGCTCCGTTGGATCTCCATCGAAATCTTCATCACATCAGCTGCGATCATTCGCAGCAGCTTTACCGGCTGGCCATTGATCCGAACGCAGCCGCCCACATCCACACGAAGCACGACTTGCAAGAAGCGTTGCATCGAGGCGTGTTCGAGCCGTCGGTTCCCAAGAAAAAAATCCACTTCCAGGTCAATTATTTTACCCGCGAGGAATTCGAGGGAATCTTCACAGTCGACGAGAACTATTTCGATTTTTCCATTTTTCGAAGCGAAGTCGAGAAGCTGAAGCTCGCTTCCCAGGAGTTTTACTTCTCCTTCCAGGAGTTTAAGCTCGAGAGAGAACCGCGGTTGCAGACGGCTGTCCTGCGATCGGTCAGTTCCGCGATTATTCCGCACTTGAACAATAAGAAGTCTGTGTTCCCCATCCAGCAGACCTATCTGAACTCTTCGGTTCTTTTCGAAGCTCTTCGGGGTTCTTCGAATTCGCTCTCGAGCCACGACGTTCAGATCTACATTTTCTGTATGACTGACTCGTTGAAACGTCCGATCTTTTTGGACAAGAGCAAGCAGGTGGTTTCTCATTCGGACGGCGCGAACAATTTTATTTTCGCGGTGCAGAACGAGCGAGTTTCGATCAACGCTCCGTATTTCGTGAACGGAATCCCGATGTATTACAACCTTCATAACATCATGTCGCCACTCCTCGAAAGCGTTTTCGAAATGCTCTCCAACACGCGGCTGGCGCTCTATTTCGGAGAGAAGGTCCACACGAACGTCAAACCTCTCATTGAGGATTGCATCCATCGGCCGATCGGCTCGGTGGACGGAATTTTCTCTGCCAACACGATCTACAGCGAGTTCCACATCGCGATTCTGAAGCGTAGCGAGTTTATCATTCATTTGCAAGTGGCTGTCGATGAGTTTGATTCGTTGATTGAGAAGATGAATGCGTTGCCGATGATGGAGATGCATCAGGAGGTGATTCAGGAACTGCACGATTCGTTCTTGGATTCTTTGAAGGAGATCGAAGCTTCGGAAGATTTCCAGCTGAATCAGGAATTGATGAAGAAGACGAATTTGGTGCTGGGGCAGCTTCGATGGATGTGGGAATTATTGCAGCAATACCAAGTGGAGAGCTGCAAATTGAAGGTGGCTCCGATTGATTATATGCGCGTGTTGTCGCGTTCTGTGATCGTAGGGACTGTTCTTGCGGTAACCTATGCGATTGTGACGCAGAAATCGAGAAAGAAGCTGAAGGAATTGTAAAGAAAACGCAGTGAAACAAACAAGCAAACAACACAAAGATTGATTGATTAGTATGGTAATGATTACTTGTATAGTTCTGGAAATACTCGCTTTAGAAAGACTGTTTGTTTTGAAAGATACTCTTCAATTTGATTCAATTGAGACGTTCGTTTCTCCATCACTTTGGATTTGAATTGTTCCAAAAGGGCTGCGTCGTCTTTCGAAACCTTCTGCGTCTTCTCATCGATCTGCGCCATTTCTTCTTGGTGATGAGCCACACATTTATCCAGAATTCGCTTTAGAACGATGCAATCCGCATGCAGCGACAGAACCTGCTCCGATCTACGTTTCATCACTCCAATCGATGATCACTCAATCGTTTCTTTGTCCATTCGATCCAAGAACGAATCGATTTGCTGCGTGTTCGAATCAATTCGCGACTGCAAAAAGGGAGACAGAAGATTGGCTGCAAACTTCAGCGAGACAGTGGGCAACGTGATCGAATACTCCACAATCATATCTTCGTCGGTTTGTTTGGATCGCTTGCTTCGTTTCGCTCTCGGCTGCGCTTGCGAAACGTTTTCGCTTTCATTTTGATTCTCTTTGTGGGTTTGCTGCTCGTTTTCGCTCGGATCGGCATCCGAACTTCGCCTTTTCTTCGCCGATCTCAACCGTTTCATTACCTCACTTCGCTCTTGCTTTGTCCAGATCCAATCCGACGGATTTGCTCTCTCCAGTAGAGAGGGCTGCAGGGAAAGCGAGCCGTCTTCTGAGACTGTGCAGAGAGATAAGACGAGTAATTGAAGTCGAATTTGATCCGTGATGGAAAGGGAAGCAGAATCCTCTTCGGATTCGATGGAATGGGCGATTGCCTCGCAGGATTCGGCGAGAGAAGAGTGGTCGTTTAAAATAAGATAATGAAAAGCGTGCTTGTAAAGGATGGAAGAAGCAATGGAATTGGATAAGAAACAATCGAGAAAATGGGACGGCTCTCGACTTCCGATTTCAGTATCATCGGAGTTTGGATGTGCATTTAATTCATTTGGTGGATTCGAGGGATTCATAGAAGAGGAGAGGGAACGCTTTAATTCCGTTGAAGCTACTTGAATCACGCCATTCAAATCACAATTCTACAAAAAATCTATATAACACATGATATACGTAACTCAAGTAAGGTTCCCGCGTCAAGCAAACCTCGGGTGATGCCACTTCTGTTTTAAAAGGATTATTGTTTAACACTATTTTGGTTTCCTCGTCTGCAATATAAAGTGTCTATCCATAATCGAAACTAGCCACTAATACACCATTTGAATAATCCTCGAGTGAATCTACTTCTAGTGAACATTCTTTTCCACTCTGTAAAGCGTTTATGAGTGAATTAATCAGAGAAGGAGGCAAGTTGAGAGAATATGCAAACTCGCTCGCTTCTTCCTCTGTATGATTCTCGTATAATATCTAGATAAGAGGGTGAGTAGAAAAAATAATACTGGAATCATAACAGGTAAGGAAAATATGATAGATATGGAAAGTGGATTCAATGGGTGAACTAATTTTCTTTCTTGTTTATAGAATGTGTTGATGTGGTGGAAACAAGTGAACTAGAATGAACAACAGTTACAGCAATAGGACGCTGGAATTACGATAATGATTATTGATATTAACGTAAGCATGGTGTTTTGATAACAATGTACTGGTCATTCTACTCACAATTGACATTGTTGGAGTTTAAGTTTAAAAAGCATTTTTACATAGTACGTAATTTTCAAAATAAATACTTTTATCTTCATCTTATTCACAATTTTCAAAACAGCAAAACTACATACGTAACTACAATTCAGATATAGTAAATTCGGCAGTATCACCAATTACAAACAATAATATCGCCCCATCAAACACAAGGAATGCGTAAAAACTTGTTACACCCTTGTTTCCACCCTTTTCTATGCAAACATCACACGAGTATTCCATTTCGTCTTTATGCTTGAAAGAATTTTGAGTTGTTAGCAAATTCACGGGAATTCGCTTATTTTCCGCCACGTTTCGGAACCGATCGGCTCCTTCAAATCTGGGATTTCTCATTATCTAGGACATATTGGATCATGTCTAAGTAGCTTTTGGCTTGAGTTTGGGATCATCATGTAGTCCATATAGTAATGTGGAGATTCGAGACGAATTGTTGTTTCTCAACGAATTATCGTCCGAATCCCTAAATGAAGAAATTTACGCTTGTTCTAGCGAGATCCTCGGCGAAGTATCAGTTTAGTAGAAATAAATAAGCCGCAGATTGTGTTTTTGGTGGACGTGGTTCGAATGCGAGAATCCATGATTCCACTGAATGTATTCGATACTTCAAAAAAGATATTTTTGGATTTTCTGTGCATTACAGCCGAAAAAGTGCGTGACGACGATCCCGGCGTTCTCCGCGTGTATGATGTATGAGTGCAATTCCAACTGCTTGATTCGAATAGATCACCTCGAAATGCAACAAAACTCACACAGGTCTTTCGTTCTCGTTATTCAAAGGATGCACTCTGGGCGAGGTGCGTTCAGTCCGTCAAATCGACGCTCCAAACGGTTCCGCGAACCCCGATATCCATCTTCTTCACCTGGAGCTCCAGCTAAGCGACAAGCGAATCGAGTTTTGCGCGAAGAACCGCGTAATGCATGTACTCTCATCTTCCGTTTGATCATTTCGAATGCGATCATCTACCTGCTCTCCAAGCTGTCTACGCAGTATTTGAACGCTCCGCTCGTGCTGAAGAACATCGACGTGGAGGATCTGAACCGCTTCTCGATGCTCAACGACCTCGATTCGATGTGTCTTCTCTATTCCTCCCCCTCCCAGCAACGCGAGCGCGCCGTTGGTTTCCCCGTTTCCCCATTACCTCCAGTTCTCCACTCTCTCCACCGCGGTGACCTCGCAGTACAAGGAGCGAAACGCCCAGCTGGAAGCGGCGCTGCGCGCGACGGTGGAGGAAATCGAGTACCGAATTCCCGCGGTGACGCTGGACGGGATCCAATCCGACATCACGTCGCAAGTGAACGTTCCCGCGGTTTAATAGTGTGTGATTTGTAGAATTCGGAGCGCGTGATTCTGGACCATTTATTGGAGATGGAAACGCGTCGAAACGAATCCGTGAACCGAATCCTGCAGAGCGCGAATTCGGTTGGAACCGAGCTCGTCGAATTCGAAGAATGGCTCTACAAGCGAAACGCCAAGTTGGGGGCGATGACGCATGCATTGCGCGCCATCACGCAGGAGAACAAAAGTCTCGTGCAACAGCGAGAGAACCACGGGAGACTGCAGCAGACCGTGCAGGTGAGAACCGCGGGGATGTTGGGGATGTAGACGCTCATCGCGATGGTCACGCTGAGCCCGGAAACCGCGGGGATTCTGAACGATGTGGAGGGAAGTCTGCGCAAAGTAGGCGTAGAACCGCGGGACGAGGAATAGTATTTCGAGGAGTGTGAAAAGTGGGGAAACCAGGTGCAGAACGGGGGATTGGACGAAACGCTCCGCTCTCTGCCTCCCGCCAATTTTCTGCTTCGCCTCCAAAATGCCGCCAGCGAGTTGCAACGAATCTCCGTGGCGTCCAATCAGACGCTCTGCGTAGGATCGGATCCCCGCGGGAATGCGTAGAACTATCCAATCAGCTCGCTCGCTTCCGTGCGCGAACGAAAAAGCGAAAACGTGGAAACCGCGAAGCGTTTCTTCGACACGACCGTTTCGTCGCTGAAGGGCTGGATTCAGAGACTCGGTAAAACCGCGGTTATCGAGGCGTGCCGGCAGATCACGTGCGTCGCTCCGCTGCTTCGGATAATCGCGGAATTCGTTGCGTTTTGGCGGGAAATCGAGGGTAGAGCGAAGCCATGGGCGAAGATGTCAAGCAGACGATCATCGACACGCTTTCCCGCGGTTTTATATCCTGTTCAAATTCCCGCGGTTCTTTAACCCCACGAGGAGGAGGTGAAGAAAACCGTTTCGGAGATCCAGAGCCGGCTGGTGGGCGTTTCATTGATTGTGCGAGGTAGAAAAAACTCCCGCCGAGCGAGAAGGGCGAATGGGACGCGTTGCGATTGGCGGGAATCGCGTCGGGGAACGAGGAGATGAAGGAAACGCGGGAATTCTACCGGGACGGCGGGGACGAAATGGGCCAATATTTGATTCCCGTGGGACTGGAGCGGTTTTTGGCGTACCTGCTTCCGGTGAGCGAGCGAATCGAATTGATGTGCGTGGAGGTGTTTGGAACCGCGGGGAAGCCGAAAGAGACATTGGAGAAACGTGGAATCGACGCGTCGCTGAACCAAATTCTGAAGTGTGTGTCGGTGAATTTGCATTCATTCATCGAAAACGAGAACCAAAGTCCGTTCTTGTTTCAATCGCAGATCGATTTATTGGAGCTCGCCATGCAGCACGGCGGAATCTTGATGCGGAACAGCGTGTTGTTCCGATTGTGTCTCTCCGAGAAGCAGGAAATCGAGGCCAAATGGGTCGCCTTCGCGCGCGAAATCAACCGGCACATCCAAGAAACCAACGTAGAACCGCGGTACTGCGGCGTGCTGCGGCCCGTCAAGATTCTGCCGTGCGTGGCGGACCGGATCGTGGAATCGGAGAAACTGCGTACAGTGGTAACGGGCCGCTTGAAGCAAGCGCTGGACAAAAGCGGGCCGATGAACAACCGAATGCGCGAAATCCACAGCCAATTGAACCAGACCATCCCCAATCCCGCGGGAAAACCCCCCGCGGGGGAGGCCGCATGCGATCCCCTCGCTCTCTTGGTGGAAATGGGGAAGGCAGTGCGCGCCAAGGTGGAGGAAATCGCGGGAATGGGTCCGAAATACACCAATCTGATCTTGACGGAAAACCTCCAATTTTTGGAATCCACGATGGAACTTCGCATCATCGACGCGCTGAGCGGCGAAGTGCAGGCGTGGCGAGCGGCGTACGAAGAAGTGGGGATTTTGGCGGGGTTTTGGGGGCTGATGAGTAGGCGGAATCGAAGTATTTGGACGAACAAATTCGGTATCAATTCGCGCGGTTTAAGGAGTTCTACGATTCCACGAAGCAGCATGTCACGGCGGAATCGGAGGAGCAGCTGTCGTTCTTGGTGACGAAGCAGGCGTTCGCGAAGAACGCGTCGCTGGGAAATGTGAAGAAGCCGCTGCGGAAGCTGCGGAGGCGAATGGAGAAGCATTTGGGAACGAGTTCGGCGCTGCTGAATCATTGCTGGAAGGAGTTGACGAGGGAGATGGTGGACATGGCGAAGGATGTGAAGATGTGGAGAGATAAGTGGTATGAGGGAGTGAGGATGAGGCCGGAGCCGGATGAATTGGAGTATGAAATGAATGACTTGGGTCGATCGATTTGGAGTGTTTGTTTCAAAGAGTTGTGAGAATGCTATTATAAAGAAGAGGGTTGAAGGTAAGAATGGAGTCATTTTTGGTGAGGGAAGGGAAGTAAAGGCCATAACCATCGTTTCCTCAACAATCATAACTCATCATGTTTCCCATATTCCAAAACATTCAATTCCACATCCTCTTTTCCTTTTCTACTTCCAAAAAAAGCCAATTATTCTCCCCCTTCGTCAAATGCCTTCCATCCTTCCTATTTCCTTGCATACACACTCCCATCTCCCTCCCATCCATTTATATAAAAACAAACAATCACTCTTAATTCATCTCAATCTCCCACTCTCCAGTAACCTTCACCAAGGGCTTGCGGATCGTAATCAGCTTCTTCTCCTCATCTCTCACAAACTCCACGTTTCGCACGGTTCCATTCTCTCTCACCCGGATCACTACATGAAATCACTCTCCTCTCCTCCTCCGCCTACCCTTCGGATTCAACTCCGTTCTCACCACAATCCTCTCCACCTCGTTCACATCCTCAAAGCTTCCCTCCACTCGCACCGACCGAATCACGCCATTCTCCATTTCCACTTTCATCCACGCGAAACGCTTCGATTCGAAACCCCATCCATCCCGTTCATCATGATACACCCATCCGCTCGCCTTTCCGCTCTCATCGCTCACCACAAAGTACGAAAACGGGTCGAATCGCATCGAATCTGCGCTCCGACGCACTCGCATTTGCCGCGGGACTACGCTTCCCGCCCTCTGCAGCACCACGATGTGTTCCAGCGGCGCCTCGATCCACTGCCTCGCTACATCACACCTCCTCCCCGCGGGATACCGCCTCCGCGAATCAGAGAACCGTCGAACACGCTCAGCCAATCGCCTTGCGGCACGTACACGCTACCGTGAACCGCGGGGAAGAGCCCTACTTGACGGTCCGCGCGTTCTCCTGGACGACGGGCGCGACGAAGACGGCGTCTCCCGCGAGGAAGGCGGTCTCTTCGTCCCGCGCGGCCGCGTCGTGAGCGAAGGACCAGACGAGCGGGCGAAGCATCGGCGCGCCGAAGCGGTGCGCCTGCCAGGCGGTGGTGTAGAGGTAGGGCAGCCAGGAGTAGCGGTCGAGGACGGCCTGGCGCAGAAGAGAGAGAGTAGGGGCGGAGAAGGTCCAGGGCTCGCGACGCTTGGTGTCGATGTGGGCGTGGGCGCGGAAGAAGGGCATCCAGGCGCCGAGCTGGTACCAGCGAATCGCCAATTCCTAGATTGCAGAGCGTGGAAACGAGGAACCTCGGAGGGGTCTTTGAAGAAGCCCGGGACGTCGGAGCCGGTGAAGGGAATGCCGCCCATGCTGAGGCCGAGCAGCATGGGGACCACGGCGGCCAAATGGTCCCAATTGGCCATGTTGTCGCCGGTCCAAATCGCGCTGTTGCGCTGCGAGCCAACGAAGAAGGAGCGAGAGAGAACGAAGGGGCGTTGATGCGGAGAACGGCGCTTCTGGCCTTCGATACACGCGTTATGGTAGTAATAGCCGTATCTATGTGTCAGAAATCGGGGCTTTTTTGACATGTTGTGCCATTCGCGGTGTTCCTGGCCGGCGAGATTGACGCAATCGCGGGGCATCGTGACTTCGGGGCTGTCGAACACGGAAGGCTATCCTTCAGAGCGAGGAACCGCGGCAACCTCGTTCATGTCGTTCCAGGTGTAGAGCGAGTCGAGCGATCCCTCGTAGTTCTGCGGGAGGAACTGGTCGCCCCACCACTGGCGAACGCGGGGATCGGTGTAGTCGGGGTAGTTGCTGGAGCCGGGCCAGCACCATCCGTCGTAGACGGCGCCGGTGCTGGTCTTGATGAACCAGTCCTTGGCGAGGAGCTCGTCGTTGATTCGATAGCCCTTCTCCTTCTTGACGTGGGGATCGACGACGGTCACGAGCTTGTGCCCGTGCTTGGCGAGATTGCGGACCATCCGCGCGGGGTCGGGGAAGTTCTGCTTGTCCCAGGTGAAGTACTTCTTCCCGACGGTGTGCTCGATGTCCAGCCACACCACGTCGAACGGGAAGTCCAGCTCCTCGAAGCGCCGCGCCACCTCCTCCACGTCCTGCTCGTCCAGATAGTTCCACCGCGACTGGTGGTACCCCAGCGCGAAGAACGGCGGCAGGGACGGGAACGACGTCAGCGCCGCGTACTGCTCATACACCGCCGCTAGCGACGCGCCCGGCAGGACGAACAGGTCGACCACGCCCGCCTCGGAGATCCACTGCAGCGACTGCTGCGCGTTCTCCAGCGGGTACACGTCCACGAACGTGTCCGTGGGGTTCAGCCACAGCACGCCGATCGACGACGACGCGCCCAGCGCCGCCACGAACGGAACGCTCCCGTATCTACGATCGAACGCATTAACCAGGCAAACAGCGCCGTGTTGCGGTGTGTCTCGTATTCGAACACGTCCAGGTTGAAGAGACGGTACGGATCCGAGAACGCGCCGCCCTCGCGCGTCGACTGTAACCGCGGGGAACAGCTGTGCTCGGGGAGGCCGTAGAGCGCCACCGTCGAGTAGAACGTCATGTCCACGCCCACCGACTAGAATTGGGGAAACCGGGGAAACCTACCTGCGGGCCGAAGGGCTTGGAGTCGGTTTTCCCGCCAAAATATTCCTCCCACGCGCCCGTTTCGTCCTCCTTCTCCGATTCCGCGGGGGATTCGGGGCTTTCGGGGGCGTTATCGACGGTCACCTCCATGGTGGTTTCCACGGTTTCCACGGTTTCCACGGTTTCCTCGGTTTGGCCTTCGATCGTGCCATCGGCGTAAATAGCCTTTCCGGCCTCGGTGTAGTCGACGATCTCCTTGGTTTCTTTGGGAGAAGGGGTCGGCTGGGTGGAAACGGAGGCAGCGGAGGGGTTGGCGGCAGTGGGTTTTTGGCGGGTGACTTCAAAGTAGAAGAGGTTTTTGTCGTTGAGAGTGAGCTTCAAGACGGAATCGATGTAGAAAGAAATGTGAAGCGGGTTGTAAGTGATTTCGCAGCGAACGTGCTTGTTGGGGGACTCGAAGACCACATGATCGGCATCTTGGATCGAGACCACCATCGATTGCTCTTGCGAATATTCTGTGTGAGGAGGAAAGAATCAATATTACCAGGAATCAAAACATCCGTTGCCTCAAAACGACGACGGCCATTCAGAGGATTCTGCTCAGAAATATGGATACGAATGAGATCGTTGGGAAGAATCGTAGCCACCAAGTCCAAGTCTGTCGTCTGTTCTCTGGATGGAACCAAAGTCGCCAGCAGCTTGTTGTCTACCATTTTCACAGACTCAGGGTTCACAGTGTACTACAAAAAAAGAAACGAAATAGAAGGTTTACGGCAAGTTTCATAGGTTTTGCACGGTGTCTCGCACAAAATCCAGACTGGGCGCACTTCTTGAATTTGTTCTCGTCCACGCTCAGAACAGCTGAGATTAGAAGAGCACACACCAAGATCCTAAAGCAGCTCATCTTCTACACTATCACTTGTTCTCACTACCAAATCTACAATTCTCCTTTAGAAAAGAGGATAATTCTGCAAAAGCAACAACCCTTGAATCGCCCCGATTTCTGGAATTCCAAAACTTGTTGTTTCAATCAAACAGAGGAAATGACCAACTCCCAGACCTTTACAACACCCTCATCATCACACGTAGCGAACTGGTTTGTGAAAACCGGGTTCCAGCGAATGCAGTTCACATCGCAATCATGCAGTCGAACATGCAGCTCGTCTATAAAATCTCCCTTCGCAGCTTCCGTCAAAAAGTGCATTTCGTTATCTCCCCCGGCGACCAGCACGCCGACCTCATTCCAATCGATCGAATAAAATGGATCGGCGTTGTCTCCTCCGTTCAGCAAAAACTTGTGCGTTTCTGTGCTATTACCGATGTTGTCTTCATAGAAAATGAGTTTCAAGCCTACCTTGCACTTCATTCCAATAGATCACCTTTCCGTTCATTCCGCAAGAAATGAATTCGGATTCGATTTGAGTATCGTCCGAAACTTCGATTTCATCCATTCCGTCGTCCTCGTCGAGACCCACTCCACTAATGATCTGTCTCGTCGGCTCTTCTTCCGTCTTCTGCTCGCTTATTTCCTCGTTTTGCGTGCGTTTAAATGCTAAGCCCCACACCGTTCCATCGTGCGCTCGTAATGTGTTAATGTTGGAATAGTCTTCGCCATCGTAAAGCCACACTTTGACAGTGTCGTCGTAGCTGCAGCTGTAGAGATTGTTGTTGCGTGGATTAAACCGTACGAACTTCACGTCCTGGACATGACCTGAAAGAACACTGACGCAATCCATTTCCTCTTCTTCATGGTCCATTCCCCACACAATGATATTACGGTCTCTGAACGATTACAAAGAGAAAGCAGCTAGAAACTACCTGGACGTGCTTGCAAGGAGCTGGCTGTCATGGCTCCAGCACACATTCTTCACTTCGTTTACATGGCCTTCCAGCATCGTGAAGAATGTCCACTCACCGTCTGTTTTGTGATATACGCTAATATTGCTGTCAAAACTCGCCGCCGCAATGTAACTACAATCAAACAAGGAAACAGGATCGTACTTGCCATCTGGAGACATTTCACACGATCGAATCGTCTTTTTGTGAATCCCATCCATCGTTTCGATCACTGCCCAAGAATCTCCCATCCGACCCCACAGTTTGACCGAACGGTCCGAACTGCACGTTAGCAACTCGTTACCGTCTGGACTCCAAGAAACGTACCACGCTACTCCCTCATGCGCTTTAAAGCTACTGAGCAAACGTACAGATGGCATAAACCTCGAAAAAGAAAAACAATACCAAAAAACGGGATCCCATCATTTACAGCATGTGGTTTATCAAAAGTCATATTTTCTTGATGAAAAGCAGAGAGGCCAACGCAGTGAGCTCCTCCTGTTATTGGGTCGATGCCAGTATTGATGAAGAGACATCGTGCCCTTATCCAGACAAGTTTACTGTCGATTTCTCTGCTTCCTTTGAAAACTCAAGAGAGGATTACATTCTCGACAGTAAGATAGGTGGAGAAAGAGATCCCTTGTATAAATTGCGTTGTTGTTTATATCGATATTGTGTCGACCGCATTGATTCGCTGGTGACTGAAGAGCTGAATCATACAACTGGCAAATGTGTGTTTTTGATAAAAACTTTCCTCCGTTCTGTTACATTGTACAAATGTGCTGCAGCGAGCTTATTTGTAGAAATTATAGCAACAGCCGTGTTTTACCGATATCTTTATTGCTATTGGACTCTTCGACTTATAAACATGTGCAGGAGGACATTTTCACTCTGTCTCCCTATTGTCATGAAAGCCTTGGTTTCGATTTTATTGAGGTGAACGAGCTGACTGGGAGCAGTGTACTTCGTGAGAAAATAGAGCACATGAAACAAAGCGGAACGTCGAAGCTAGTTGTGTATCTCTACCAATCAGATCTCCAAAAGCAGGAAAACATTAAACAAATCATCGATTATTGCTTATATTGCAGAGTACGCAAGGTGTGATGATGGCATGTAGCAACACCTCGCTTTTGAAGTAATCGCGTTGGTGGAATGGTCCTGTTTCCCCGAAGAGTTCGGAAACCTGCTCCAGCGCTCGATCACAGCGAACTCGCTGATCCAGCCGCTGCTGTTTCCGAGCTCTCTACAAGTTTCGATTGTTTGTTTTGCTGTAAAAAGTAGCTACTCAACAACTTATTCACAAAACTCATAATCGGAAATGCACTTCCACTCTTTTTCCCATCCACCTTTCTCTCCCAAATCAACGCTACCCTCATCAACTACGATTTCTCTGTTGTTCCTTCACGATTGAATTGATGAATAGATTTGGTCGTGGATCAAATCCATCAAATTCGCTATTTGGCGGTTCTTTTCCTACCAATCCGCTTCGTCTCTCTGTGCATTGATCATTCAGAGACAGTTGCAAACCCAGGAAGACTCCAATCCCTCCGAACCTTCTTCGAAACGCCCCGTTCGATTCGAGTTCGATTGTTATTCGATAGAAAATCGAGAAGGAGAAGCAGCGATACGATCTTCGGCACATTCCAGCGAATTCTGCCGTGTAAACCGCGGTTCTTTCGATGTTCATGTTCCAGATCCGCAGCCAAACGAAAATCCTTTCTCTCCGATCACCTGAAATACATCCAGTCGATGAACGTGTTGAAAGGACTGGAGGGAAACGACATTCCCTCCATCAAAGAATTCCAAATTCCAAAAAGCCGCGTTGTTAAATACGACGAAACAAAACTCGCCAGATTCATCGATAAGCTGCTTTTTCTCTGGGAATTCCAGCCGAAACTCGTCGAATTCTATTCGAATCTACTAGAATCGTTGGTCGGTCATTACAGTTATCGCGAAATGTTTCCACGTTTCCTCCAATTCACATTCCAGTTATACTTTGTTTTCTTCCCCACGTCGATTTTCGTCCAGCGAAACGCACAAACGCGTCGTTTCGTCGTTTCAATCCGTGCAGGACGCTTCATTCTTCGATCGAATTCTTGACCACCTTGAAGCTCTTCTCGATGTTCCCATTTTTCCTTTTGGTTTCATTGTGTGTATAGGACTGTAAAATCGCGTTACACCCCACAATCGAACCTTTAAAAGCGCAGCTTCAATCCATTCGAGAACATTTGCACAAAGCTCCCGAGCCGCCCATCGAAAAAAAACAGGAAAAGAAAGCCCTCGAAGCGGTTTCGTCGTATCACGAGCTTCGTGCTCATTTTAAAGTGGCTCGAATTCGATGAGTTGAACGTAGAAACAGCGGGAAAGTTCGCTTCGCATCAAACCCTCCGAAAAAACCTCCTTTTTCTGTATTTTGGAGGCATTGGTCGCACTGAGTTTCCCCGAGAATTCGTTTTTGCATGTCGACTCGCCTCCTACACGCAGCGAACTTCATTTATCGAATCGAAAGCAGGTTGTTGAAGGTTTGCTGTATCCAGAATCGTATTTCCCTTGTTCTTGCTGCAATTTTGATGGGTCCAATGGGTCCAACAAGGCGAATACTCAGACTGACAAGGCTTCGAATACGTTTTCGCGTCCGATTCAAAGCAGCCAGGACGATTTGGGCATCTTGTATGGACTGTTTAAGGATTGGCCGAAAAGCGTGTTGGTGGAAGACGCGAAGAAGGCGTTTTTTGGAGTGTTCTTGAAAGAGGATAAGAAGGCGGATAGAGAAGTGGTGGAGGCACGATTTTGGTGTTCGGTGCGATCGTTGGAGTTTATAGGAATGGTCGCATTAGATGAGAATGAGACGAAACTGACGAAACTCGATTTTGCTCTTTGAAGTGTTTGTTGAACTCAGAAAGTGTGAAAGGAAAAGAAAGGGTGTACACGACAGAGTGAGTGAGCGAATAGATCGAATAAGTTAATTTAACAAAACCATTGAAAGTGTAAAGTAGAGCGGAATACAATATAATAATGGAAAAGTGAAAAATAGAATGGAACAAAAGTGAATAGAATAGTTGAATAAAAGAACAGCATCGAGACTTCTCAGCGAGTCACCCACACTGGTACTAACTCGACTCGTGATGACTTAGCTTCCTAGATCGGACGGGTTAGGGCGCTTTCCATCAGATATGGCCGTTCTCATTTTATTATTATTCAATTACCTATTTAAATATCACATTCTTATCATCACTCATTCACTCACATATTTTGAGTTACATTTCTGATTCTGTATCAACTGGAATCCAGAACAAATAGTATTTGTGTGTGTTTTCAAACAAACAAAAATGCAAACATTCTACACATTTAGTATTTACTTCTTCAAATTCACCAAGAACTTCGAGATTCCTGCATTGTTAGGAACGAAAGTTTTATCACCTTCGTGCCAGTTCGCAGGACAGACTTCTCCGTGTACATCACTGAACTGAAGTCCCTTGATCACACGGATCGTTTCATCCACACTACGACCAACTCCATTATCATTTATATAAATATGACGGATTTTCTGATTCGGATCGATCAAGAACAATCCTCGGAAAGCTTGAGCATAATCCAAACCCGATTTATCTTCATTGTATACTCCATAGTTCTTCATCGTCTCACGAGTCACATCCGAAAGCAACGGAATATTGATAAGACCACCCAGTCCACCCTCAGAACGGGATGCCTTCAACCAACTCAAATGAGTATAAGGAGAATCTCCAGAAATTCCAAGCACCACAGTGTTCACTGCAGCCAACTTGTCAGCAGCATCATTATAAGCAAATATTTCGGTGGGACAAACGAAAGTCCAATCCATGGGATAGAACAACAGAATTACCCACTTTCCCTTGTAGTTATCAAGCGAAATATTGGAAATTGTTTCAGTTCCTTGAGCTCCATTCAAACAAAAGTTGGGAGCAGTTTGACGAATCGTGACGGGCATTTCTTAACTTGGGTAAATATAAATAAATAAATAAATACTGAATATTAATGTAGAAAGATGGCTCATTTTTGTACAAAGAAAAGGTTGGGAACAAATGAATGAAACTCCCTTCTTTTCTCAAGGATTCTGAATATACAACAATCGAATAGTTTATGAATGACTATGTTGAAAACCGAAAATAGAATGAATAGTAGAATAGAGTAGCCACACAGAATCGGATACTTTGTAGCTGAAGAAGAATGGAGGAATAGTTCGTTTTCTGTTGTTTTAAATGTCGTGATGAGATCTAAATGAAACAATTTCATTCTTGTGTAGTATTTCTTTTAAGAAGTTGAGGTCATTCTCCCTGCAACTTATAATTCACAAGTATTATTGATGAAAGAAACAGTAAGTGCATTGAATTACCCTAATGAGCGATATCAAGTGGAATTGTGAACGAAATAGTGAATACTCCAATAATGGGTGATGATATGTGAACAGAGACTAGACATATAGCTAGAATGTGCTATCTATTCGTGGTATGAAATGGAAAATTTGGACATTGAAATATGCTGAAATGAGTGTAGTATTAATACAGTGGAAATGTGCATTAAGTAGTGTCCAGTGTGGATATCCACTGTTGGTTACTAATTATGTATTGACAAATACTTATTTGGTCATATATTACAAGTCCATACTTGCCAATATCTACTTCATAGAATAAGGAACTATTGCTCAAATATACCACACAACAATAAGGAGATATAATGGTGAAATAGCATTACTACTGATATCACCAGTACAAGGTCTAACTCCACTGAAAGTAACCAAAACCTTTAGTATCTCGTAGTAATCTAAATGTAATCCTTCTGCAAATCATTAGCGGATACAATCAATCTTTGTTTACTCTGGTGGGAATGATTCTTTGTTAGCTTTGAATTCACGATTTCATTTTTGCTTTCCTCCAATATCTATTATGAATAGAACTATTAAGAATTCAAATCATCGATTGAAATGAAGGTGGAGCAAATCAGAACAAAGCAAACATGAAAGAAAAACAGAATGGCAATCATAACTTATTGCAATGATACTACGATCTTTAGAGTATTTATAAGTTTAATAGAATCGTGGTGTAGATAGTATAAATGGTCGTAATTCTCCTTGTCTATTCCACAATGATCAGAAATGATATCTGTATTCTGTAAGATCATGAAAACACAGAATAAAAATAGAAAATGGCTGTCGCAGTTCAAGAAATGAGCTTATTGCTGTCACAATCACTACGTCTATAACTGGTAAAAAAAGAGTGTTCATGTTTCTTCTCTATGCCTACTATTTGAATGCTATAGGTTTCATTACTTTGAGAAACGAGCATTTATAGTAATAATAAAGTAGTTAATAATTGGAGCGTATTACGCGAATAAACATGACCGC